TTCCTTCCTTCCGTCCTTGTTTTTTTTTAAATATGTTTTATTTTTTGCAATTCACAATGCAGTGCCTCACCCAACTCTTATGACTTTTCCATTTTGGGCTCTGTGCCATCCCTACTCACCTCTCAAAACTGTGCTGTGAACTTCTCCAAAATTGAATTCAATTTGTGATCCCTCATCCACAGAAGTTTGCAGGTCCTCTTCAAATCATCTTTCAAGGGCTCTCCCATGTTTTCCAGCTATTTTTTGTTGCTTTTTGTGGAGGAAAGTCAGGTAATAATTTTCAAATGCAGAGTGAACTGGAATGAAAGTTCTGTGTGATTTAGTAATTCTGTTGTGCTGTAGCTATTCTGCATTACATGCCGAGACACTTTAGCCATCTGGGATCCTGCACTGTACATCTGTGTGATTTTCCTTCAAGTATGTTTTCTTCTGCTGAAACACAGACCAGATCAATCGTGGTTTTCTCAATTACAGTTCACATCTGCAAGACACACCATTTAATTTTATTTGCTTGAAATAATTTAAAAGCTTGGCTTTAAGGAATGGAGGAATTAACAGTCTATAGAAACGTTCTAAGCTCACAGATAATTCTTAACTGCTTTACTGTGCATGGTTTAACTTATTGTCACTTCTGAATCTGCTCATCTCATCTCTTCCATTCTCCAAGCTAGATCTATTTTTGGTGCTGAATATTGCAAAAAGTGATGGATCTGCAAGGCTGCTAAACCCAGAAAATCTGAAGTGTCAGATTTTAAAAGCAACTACAAAACTTTAAAACATATTTGGAAGGGTATGAGGGACATAACTCAAGAATATTGTGTCACTTAGCTTTAATAGGAATTATGTTGTTGTTGTTGTTTTGTTGTTATTATTATTATATTGCATTTATATCCTGCCTGCTTATGTGGTTAGGAAAAGTCCCAAAATATGGTATGATCTGCAACAAATGCTCTACTTGCAGTCGGGAACCTGCAAGCCACATTCACACGTTCTGCTTCCAGGGCAAAACCTCTTGAGCTTTGCAGCTTGACAAGAAACTGCAGCATTTTCTTTCACCTTTCTGGGTAGTATAATTAAACTTGCAATAAATAAGCAATGGTGTTAAGAGTTGGCTTTCAAAAGGCAACTGTGGCATTTCATACATTGAGTATGTATTCATACATGCATCACCTTATTTATTGGCTGTGTGGGGGTGCATAGACCTCCCCCCCCCCCAATCCCCTGGCAATGATGTGCAAAAACAGGCAACTGCTTTTGTGTTACACAACTCAGGCCGAAGGAAGCAGATTGTGGAAAACACATTTTACATGGAAATGTGCAAGGAAGCTGTTTTCATTCTTGTCATACCAGCTATGAAATGTCATCCAAGGGAACTGCTGTGATTGTGATGAATACGCACACACAAACCATCCCAAAGTTGGGCTATACAATGGTTAGCTGCTAGCAGAAACACCACTGGGCATTTATGTCCACAATTCAGCAAGTGCAGAGAACTCTGAATATGTACTTTTGCCATCATTCCACATCCTTAATTTTTTTTAACTTGGATAATCTGTTACCAAAGATGTTCCTTTTCTCATTCCCTTACAGGAGTATAATCTGCTATATGTCAATTTGAGGATTTGTGCCAAAGTTGTCCTCTGCTACCGCCTGGAGATTGCCAGTTGTTTTGCATTTGACTTTTCCATGTTCCGAACAATCGGACTTCATATTTAGGATGTTGTAGGCCGACGGGGCGCAGGTTACAGCACAATTGGAACTGGTAGTCAAAGCACTTGAATGGCTAGGAAACCTAGAAAGAAACTTGAAAGACATTGCCCTGACTTTGGCAAATCACGCTGATAGCAAGTTGTGTTGCGAGACCACTAGAGTACTCTAGGACCACTGGAGTAGAGACCACTAGAGTAGACTAGGATCTTTGGCATATTCAGTTCCTCCACCATATCCTGTTACTAAATCCAGATCTGTGATTCCTCATTTCCATATGGATGGTTTTGAGGCTCTGGCTGTGGGAAGAGGGCTGAGAAATGGGATTTTATTATTCCCTAATAAATGGGAAGGCAAAACTATCTAGTAGGGGCACAAGGAGCAAGAGGAAAAAGTAAATGTAGCCCATAGGGAGCTTTCCTTTGACTGGGAAGCTTCTTTCTCAGAGTTGCACCTCCTGTGATAGTAAGAATGAACTACAGAGACATTCTAGCCTTGTCTGCTTGTACACTGTGATTACAGGGCAGGAGTAAGGGGTAAGGATCAGCATTTCCGATTTCCAGGAATTTCTGGCTGCGGCTTGTGCACACCTAATGCTGTGTTTGTAGCTGAAAAGAGCCCAAAATGGACTCCCTGTGATAAAGCAATACTGGGCGGTTTCCTCGGTACCTATTTCTGCCATGCCAAAGAGGAGCAGCAGAGTAGGTGGTGTCAGAGCAAGCCCTATCCTTACTTCATGGTAGGGATGGCTGTTCCACACTCGCCTGAAGTGCAGGGAGGGGAAGGCTACTATAATTACCGCTCTTGGCAACCCGTGCGCAGGCGTTCAGCTCAGAGGCTGCCAGGTCTTGGCTGCAGAGCTGACCTTTCCATTAGATAGCTGAATCTCGCCAAGCAATGCACATTATTTGCCTTTGATTATGATGGGAAAGTCAGGTCTGCAGGCTCATGTCAAATCCAGGTCCTCTGGAGCATAGCAAGTAGTAGGAGCTTGTTGCTCAGAAAGAAAACCAAGCTGTACTGGGGCGGTTCTGATGGGATCTCTTTGCTGTTCCTGGGCTTGTTGGTGCAAGGAAGATGCCTTGCCTGGCCTAACCGCTGGCTTTCCTCCTTTGGCGTGTCAGGCGCTGGCACACAGGCCGAAACCTCCGGCGAAGGAGTCCTGCAGGCACCAGCAAAGATTTCGGACCTTCTTCTCAGCAACAATGAATTCACAAGCCCGCGACATCTACATTTTTATTATTTGAGATGATTGCTTGTTACAGTACACTAAGGACTGTCTCACATCTCGGTAGGCAGTTACAGTTTATGTAAACACAGTGTCTAGCATAGTGGTTAGCTTACAGAAAGAGAATGATGGTTTTCCTGTCTTTTGTCAGAGAACAGGCTGGCTTTCAACCAGTTTATCTGCATGAGGTGTTGGACCTCTTGCATGGAGAGCAAGAGTGGTTGGTTACACGGCTGTCTGCTGTTGTTTTGGCAATCTGACTCATTGATTTCTGGAATAACTGGGACATGTAATACAGACACACGGAATTACACGGGAGAAACCAAAGAGACAGAAGCAATACTTTGGTATTATTTTTGATTATGCAAGAGTATCCAAAAAGGATAAACATATGGGTTATGTTCCAGCATTCTTTAGAAAAACCAAATAAAAGAAAACAATCCTTCTTTAAGACATTATAAAATTACAAACAAAACACAGTCATGTTATGCTGCGTCTGTTAACTGTTTCCGCAAGTGCTGAAGGAGTCAGATCATTTTCCAAAAGACCATGCCAAAATTAAAACATCACATTCATTGTTAACTTTAAGTCTCTTTCAAAAACACACACACAACTTTAGTCATGTTTTCCATTCTGACAGAGGGAAAAAAGGAACAAAGAGAGCAAAGACTGTGTTGACTAAAATGCTTTGTCCGTATATGATTCACAAGAGAAAGGAGTTCTGCAAATTAATGTTCTCCAGGAGTTAGTGCAGGTGCAATATGAGGGCTCCTTGTTAATTGGGGTTAATACACTGGAAACTGGGCTTAGGAGTGTGCAATTCCTTCTGCAATTCCCTGTCGCCTTCGCCACAATTAATCAGTTGGCCTCCACCAATACGAGTTGTGGGTGAGTTGACCAGGTTTTTCCATTTAAGCACCCTCTGGCAGCAGGGTGCGCTGCAACTCCTTGCCTGTAGGGACCAGGCTGACCTCGGGCAGACCAAGTCCTGGTGACCACCAACTGGTTCACTGCAGTGGGAGGGTTTTGCTTGAGGAAGGGGAGAGGCTGTGGGTGAAAAGCATGCATTTCCAAGCCCAACTCCAGGTTTAATTAACTGTGGTTAACAGGGAACCAGTGAGTGCTGCATCCACATTTCCCTGCTGATTGCTCAGTGGATGGCAGAAATTAAAGCGCTGGAGTTGGAGTAACGAAATCCCACTGGGTGTGGCTACAAACTGGGTCCCTTCGCTTTAGCTCATTCCAAAATGTCCTGAGTAGAATTTGAAATAACAGTGGAATGTGGAGGAAAATAAGTTGTGTTGGGTGGGCTCTCTGAGATCAAGTCTCCACTGCTGTGTATCTGGTATCAAAGTTTTCCATTGTGCTACAGGTAAGAACAGCTTAACCCTGATAAAAAAAACCCATTTTCACACTAAGACAGAACAGTGTATTTCTACAGGTTTCCAAGACTTCAAATCTTGAATCTCGACACAGACTTGAGTCATCCAATGCTCTTGGTTCCAAACCCCCTTTATCTCAGGAACCATTACTGTCAACAACATGGTAACACTTAATTCTAGACCAAGTGCTGGAATTTCTGGAGAAAATTGTTCCCATTGTATAATTTGTGCTTCATGCTTTGATCAATTTGCCTTTTCTCAGCAATGACCACAGAAATAGCAGTTTATACTGAAACAACAGGGTTTCCCCCCATCCCTCCCCGTGCGATAGTTCCAGTACTGAGCCATTGCCCTGACACTGCACTGATGAAGTTCACTGGCCACAAGTAACACGTCACTACCAAAATGGATTACTTGGAGAATGGCAAAATGCTTAAACCAGCACTGGAACTCTCACGCGACCCGGTTTGATATGTCTTCATAAGGGGAGAAAGTCAATTATCGTATTCCCCGTAAGAGAGAAAGAACAGTTTAGGAACTACTAAACAGCAGGGGAAAGTTTCCCATTCTGGAAATTCCTGTTGCTTCAACCAGTTGTTATTCGGCAAAGAATGAGCCAAGGGAAGGCCATTCTTTGGTCGTCTGCTCTCCTCCTGAGTCCATTACCTTTCACCAAGAAATTGTTAACTATCAAACTTGTCCATAAATTTTGCCGCTGAGGGTGAAACCATCCAGTTAGCATATACACTATCATTTGCATATCTTGAAAACCCAGATTTAGGGCCATCGCATCTTGTGAGCGGAACGGGGCTCTCCTCAGGCCAGTTCGGGTATGACATGCCTAAAAATGAAAACAGATAATTTTTTCTGCACTGAAGAACCACAACTTCATGTGCAGACAGTAAGGCCCTTGGCAAAACTCCCTTCGAAAATTGCAAGCCACATTACAACGCATCCCCCTCCTTAGCAAAAAAGCAAAAGCAAAAAAACCAAACCAAACCGGCCCAGGACTGCGTTTCAAAAGGCTCTGAAGTACAAGTTGCAGTGAAGGCCAAAACTCATGAATAAACAAACAAACAAACAAACAAACAAAGTGCTCTTTATATCTATCCAAGTGCAAGCTAATACGTTGGGTCCTATTAAGTCTTTGGATTTCAGGATGTTAATTTTCATGGGAATACAGCAGCTGATTGGTTATTGCAATGGAGTATTCCTGTGGTTTATAAAGTGCTCAAAACAGTAGTTAGCCTACACAATTCTCCAATTCTAAGAGGTTTAACACTTAACATGCATGTCTTAACCCTAAAAATACTCATCCCATTGAAGTCAATAGGATTCATTCACATAAGCATCTTTTTATTTAAAAAAGGGGGTCCTGGAACAGCTTCCACAGGGGCAACTGAAGTTCAGGAATACCAGTTTTGCTGGTAGTTCTTCCTCTTGTGGAGAAACCCAAAACCATTCCTGGCTAGGACCCCAACAAGTTTAAGCTTAAGACACCGACAAATAAAACAATTCAAGTGTCTCTTTGGGAACCCAAATATAATAGCTAAGATCTAGCTTGTCCAAAGTTCACATGCAAAGAACTCCTGGTCCTCGGCAAGATTAGCCTGGCAGTTAGCCATCTTCACAACATGTCCATTCATTTAAGAGTCTAACTATGAATTAAAGAATTGGAGCTCAGACTGTAGGTTCCAATTCAGTTCTCTTGATGCTGACAAATAAAAAGAATTGGAAAAGGGGGAAAAGTGGCATGGCTTGAATTGAAGTAATTTAAAAGTGTTAATGGCATGTCGAACATTTAATTATGTGACCAAAAGTAGGAGTTTTGGCAAGAACTGTCTTTACTGTCCATCTCACCACCACAATATTAAAGCACATTCCTTTTAAGACACTTGCGACAACATTGAAAACATGGCTTAGATGCTGACATCTCCGTGAGAAACCAAAAGCATGTGAAAACAGCCGTGGTTGCTTTCATGTCACCCTCACAGTTCCAGAGCTGCATCTGCTCTCTTCTGTCTTCCCCCTTTTCTACACCCATCCTGAATTCCACTACTTGGTAAGCAGCCATGGCTGACTGGGAACTTAAAATATACACTCAACAGTTAGATTCAGGAATCCATTAGGATAAAAACAGTGAAATGTGAAGGAAATCCCAAATCTTCAAGCAGTTAAAAAAAAGGGCAGCTTGTTACTTAAAATGAGAGGTGCCAAATAGAATGGTGCACTTTAAGTGCTTCCAACCCCATAGATACACAAAAGTATGCTTTTAATTGGATATTTGCTCACATATTTTTTAAAACTTCCCCTGAGAGTACTTCCCTGATCTAGGATAATTTTTTTTATCATACAATATATATTTAGTACTGTTGCATGTTTTCACATCCTTTATTTTTTTTTAAACACAGCTGCAAAAGACGGCTAGGTGAGAGCCTAATGCAGAGTTTGACAGTGACAAATGAAAAAGAGAGAAAGAGAGAAAGGCGGGGGGATGGGGGTGGGTAAGACTTGCCAAGCAAATTTTGATTGGTTTCATTCAGACAAATAATACTCTAAAGGGTATTACAGAGTGTGAGGACAGTGCAGAAGAAAATCGCTTTGGATGCGTGTGTGTGTGTTGCTAGAATCTAGTAAATGCATGTGAAATTCTACCATAGAGTTTGTTTTCAATCCATGTGGAAGGAAGGGTTCGAGGGAGGGGAGCGTTATTACAATCCACAAGGGGCGTCTCTTCTTCGGAGAGTCCATCATCGTAAAGCAGGGAGTCCGAAGGCGTGGAAGCTGCAAGGTCTAAATAGTCCTAGGCAGATAAAGAGAGGGACAGTTAACATTGCAGGCTCGGCCTCTGTTTCGACTCGTGTTTCTCATCCCTCCGATGGAGCTCATCCGTGTGGGTGAGATCATCGGCTTCTGCGTGCTGCAGGAGGAGTATCCTTGGAGACACATTTGTTTGGAGTAACACTAGACACACTTCCTTAGACATGTGCTCCATGGCTACTCCCCAGGAACGGCGGTCCTTGCCAGCCAGCTAACACAGGGAATCTGGCAGGCAAACTTGGAAATTCTGCTGGCTGCCCCCCCACCCCCACCACACGCATCTTGTGCTTCTTCCAGGAGAAGCAGGAGGGAGCGAAGCCAGACTACTGAGCAGCCCTTTATTCGACAATGAGAAAGCCTTACACAATGAATCTGGTCAAGACCCACGTGGTCAAGGGATCCGGAGGATCCTCAGCTAGGAACAGCCATGCTTTGCACTTTGGGGACGCTTCAGAAGGCGTCACAGTGGGAAATAAGATGTTGCGTGAGGATACGATCACCATGTAATCTAATAATGGCTCCAGTCTTAACAATGGCTCCGCTTAGTGAAAGCGATGGCACCCTCACGGAAGAGAAAGGCCTCAGCAGGCCTGGGGGAACGCCAAGGATTGCATTCGATTTGAAAGGCAGCCCCAGGAGGGCTCAATGCCCACAGAATGCTGATTTGACTGTAAGCTGCTGGGGAAACAGAGGGACAGGTGGGAGAGGGATGGAATGGGGCCCCTGGAAAAGGAGGGCAGAAGCATGGGACAAAACAACACCAAAGCAGTAGAGAGAACCACCTCCACACACGGAGTGGTCATCTCTGCTTCTCAGGGAGAGAACTGGGCGAGAAGAATGGGGTGGAGGGAGCACTGCGCAGAAGCAATTCGTACTGCAACGTTTCGTTGCAGTTCTGACTCACTGATATTCTTTAGACTAGGCGTCAGCTGATGCATTTGGCCAAAGAAGTGTCTTAACTTTTTTTTTGGGTGGTTTTGGAGACTGCAAGGACGGACTATTGCATTCCTGGCTACTTGAAGGCATCTGGCTACTGTTGGAACTGAAAGGATGGACTAGACAGCTGTTGGGTCTGATCCAGCAGCAATTAATTTACAAGAAGCTGGATGCCTCCAGACAAGGTTTTTCTCATGCTACGACTCTGCTGCAGTCGTATAATTTTACCAGACGTTCAGGTGGCCAATGGGAACCCTCCCGTGTTTTCCCCTCACTTCCCTCTTTTTCCTTACCGCAGAAAATCCATTAGGGAGTGGGAGTTTAAAAGCTGCATGATAGCATCAGCAGCTTTCCACCTGGAAGAATCTACCAGATAACCACATTCTGGGGGTAAGAAGGCCTCTCCTCCCATGCAGAAAAAGTACTTTTACTTGAGCATGAATTTGTCCGCAAGTGCCATTTCCCACCCTGTGAAGTCTAGAGTTTTGAATCATTGGACTTTTAAAAATTCAATTATTCACCGTCTAGACATCCAGTCATCTACTCACAGTGCTCCGTGGGCCTTGATGGAGGAAGCTGACAACACGGAGAGACCCAGCATCTTTCTTTCATTAGTGAGTTCGCTACCAGAGAATTGCTTTAACCCAGTAATCAAATGGCCATTTTGTTGTGCAGGTTGTGGGGAACCAACCCCAGAGAGCCACGCTTTGGCTAGTTAGACATTCCACTTCTATTTAAGGAAAGCGCAAAACTCCCCTCTTTGAGAATCAGCAGTTGTGGCTACCTAAATCTTTCCACTACTCAAAAAGGGGCGTGTTGCGTGTTTTTCCCCAACAAGATCTTTCCAGAAGTGCTTCTAGATTGCGTGTCTGCCTGCTTTCATGCTTCTCTCATGTTAGAAAAATGCTTCGTAGTAAAAACTTTCCTAATGGCATTTCTCAAGCCCACCTCTTAGCATCTTGTACAGTATTGGTTGTTTTCACTTGAATTAATTGTTGGACACTTGAGAAACCTCTGCTGGACTAACTGAATTTTCTCGAAGTGGGGTGTGGGTGCGGAATGACCAAGTAAGCCTGTGCCCAATTTTGGATGATTCAGAATGACATAAAAAGGATTCTCAGCCTGCAGGTTCAGGAATAAGCCCCACTTAAATTAATTCTGAGAAAACATGTATAGGATTGCAATGCTAGAAGCCAGGTAAGATTTGCCTCTTTTTTATGTTTGAGTGCCAAGTACTTCTGATTCCCTTTTAATAACGTTTTGAATGGAACTGTACATTTTATGCTACTATGGGGATGCCGGTCAAACTCTTGAATATAACTCTAAGAAATGAATTAATAAATAAATCCGGCTTTTGTCTATTGCACTTACCTGTCTCTAGATGCTGACTCTTTGTTTCACAATATACTGAGAAGTAGACCTTTCTGTTTTATATGTTTTTTTAAAGCTAGGACATTCTTGGAATGTCAGGACTCCCTAAACAGGCATACGGCTGCACACCAGGGGAGCAAACAGCAGCCTCCCCAAACACCTGGAGAACTAAAAGGAAACCCTCTGGGGTGATGCCAAGCAGCAACCTCCCTGAGGACATGTGTGAATTTCTCTGAGGGTTCAGGTTGAGGCGGCTTGTAACCGTCCCCGAGGTCTCCACCCAAGAAAAGCTCCCTCCCCCACCCACTCTTTCGGAGGGTTGCGGGCAGAGAAGAGAGGGCTCCCTGGCTTCTTGGCCAAGTCGCAAGCCTGCTTCGGTTTGAAAAGCTGTTGCTCCTGGCAGCTACTGTGTTTTTCCTGGGCTTTCAATGGTCCAGAACCCTCCCCTATCAACTTGTGATAGGAGGTGGGACGGGATGCCAGAGGCTGGAGGAGATCCTGAGCAGCTGCCAGGAGAACAGCTGGCCAACGCTCCCCGGCCTCCTGAGGAGCCGTAGCAGGGTCCCTGGATGCAGTCCAAAACCGTCTGATAGGTTGAGCCTCTTCTATGAAAACGCTTTGGCAAGTTTGGACATCTGAATGCTGGAAGGTAAAACTGTTAAAGATCTTCAGACCCAAAGACCCCTTCTTCTTTACAGGAGTTGGAACTTTAGTGCTCTATTCCACGTCTTCCCTTCTTTCTGTGCCTAAAATTATTTTAAATATCGCCTCCCTTTATCAACAGCTCAAGCCAGTTTTGGTTTCACACACTGCACAACACTGTGTGGCTTTGTCGTGGTGTTTATTCCAGGTGATGCAGCTAAGCATGCGGTTCTGAGGTGTGATGCATTCATTTGCAAACACCTGTTTGAAAACGCAGTCACACCCTGCACTTGAATGGATACAGTTGAAGCGCAAGTATGAAAAGGCCTTGTGTTGTGTACATGCTTCCCCTTTAACCTAAACAACACTGTTTACTGTAATCAGGCACCACAAAAATGTATCGTGTGCTACGCTGTTGCTGTCCACATGTCTCAGACTAAATCTCCACAGAATCTTCAACCTCCTTTTCATCCCTTTCCCCTGATCTTTTGAATATTCTTCCTTTGCAGACCTCATCTATGCCCATGCTTTCTCCAAAGGCAGTTGGTGAAAAACGGACACAGTGACTCCAGTGAAATCTTGCCAGTCCCATCGAGAGAAATCCTTGCAAGGCAAACCTTTCTGGCCAGCTTTCATGAACTCAAAAGACACTTACCCTACTCTTCACCATCATTTTCTCTAACTCTTTACTGATTTCGGCAAACGTTGGCCTCTTATCTGGCTCCTGTTTCCAGCAGCGAAGCATCAAATTGTACCTGCAGGAAAACACACAAGAAGATGCACTGTGTATGAGTCAAGACCTTCTTCTTGTTGTTGTTTTCCTCCTCTGCCAACAGTTCTCTAATGAGGAGCATGATCTAATAGGAGGGTCACCTGGGCATCTCCAAAACAAGAGGACAAATGGTGGTATGGATAGCACATGCTACGCATTTAGTATAATTAGTTTAAGTGGACAAAAATGCAGGGTAGCCCCTCGCAATGGGAAAGATGGTGACCAGCAGAACTGTGCAAGAGCTCAGCCTGCTCCCAGGTCAGAAGTGCTGATGAGCAAGCTCAGTGCTGCAGGTCTCACTTCCCCAGGTTCTTTAACAGTAAACTGAACTTCAGCTGGACGGCCCTTCACATAGAGGATTGTGCTCTAGAAAGTAAGAGACGCAGCCACCCTCTGACCTGACCCCACTGGGTCTCCAGGCACAAAAATATGCCATTCTGTTCCTTCTAGCCTATTTCGTAAAAGCCTGGCAGTTGGTAGAAGAATTCACTAGGCACGTCTCTTTAATACAGAGGAGACAATGAGTGTCCGTACGTTATGGATATCTTCTCACGGCAATGGGTACTTTTAAAAGAAGGCCTTAGAGGCCATGTGTCCCAGAAAGGTGAAGCTGGAAGGAAGAATCCAGATAAAATAAGGAAGGAAGGATGGAAGGGAAGGGAAGGGAAGGAGAGAGGGAAGAAAGAAAGAACAGAAGACGTTGTTCAGCCTTCCAGAAGGAAATGATGGAATACCTTCTGCAGTACAATCCCCATAAGGTAGACAATGGCCCAAATGCTGCAGCAGACAAAAGGAGATGCGAAACAGGTGGAAGCTGCACCCAATGCACGCACGGAAGGGGTGGGCAGGACTCCTACCCAACTTGGTGTGGCTCTAGAATGTTCTGGATGACCATTCTGTGACAGACAGGACCTGACAGTACTTCCTGACAGCTAGCACCCTGGGGGTATGGCATGGGCTTCCACAGGAGGTGGCTGAGGCCCCATTGGTGAGGGAGTTCAAAAACAGGCTGGACATGCACATGGTGGGCATGTCGTGAGCGGAGCTGTTTGGAGCCGGGGGTCAGACTAGATGGCCCAGGAGACCCCTTCTGACTCACTGTTTCTATGCTGTGTGTGAGTCCCAGAAACCATGCCGAAGAATGGGACTCGGGTAGAGGGCCCACCTGTCCTGGGTGAGTGGAAACTGGGAGCACCTCCCTGAGCACAGGTAAAGCTTTGCAGAAGAACTCAACCCCTGTGCTTGGCTGCCTGCTAGGTGAACTGTCCAGTCTCCTCCAAAGGCATCGCTGCATCTCACCTAGCTTCAGCTCATAGGCTTGGTGTATGTATAGGTCTCTTTTGTGCCCGAGCTCATTGCTTCACCATTCATTGTTGATTATACGGCAAAGTGTGACATCGATGCCTTCCGAAGTTCTTCAAAGGGAGTCCACCTCCTTTTTTAAGGTGAAGACAAGTGTCTCTCCCCAGCTGGCTAGTGCTCCTTGAGGGCTGGCCACCAGCACTACTGCTGCGACAGGGTAAGACCAACGATGGAGGAGCCAACTGCCGTGCAACATGGCTACAATCGATCGATGGATAAGCAAAGCCTGCCATTTTGAATTACTTACATCTCCTCACTGCAGTTTTCTGGCTTCTCCATTCTATAGCCTGTTTTTAAGAGGTTAAACAATCTCTCAGGTGCAATGCCTGGATACGGATTGCCTCCCAGGGTGACAATCTCCCACAGCAGGACACCAAAGGACCACCTGAGGAGAAAAGAAGGCAACGTTCACACTCACACGATTTAAATCAGAAGAACAAAAGCATCATTGCAATCGCACAGAAGCGTAGCAGGGTGCAGAAATAAAACAGAACGTATAAAAACAAAGTTCGTAAGTCAGATGGTTAAAATGCCGGGAAAATGAAAAGGCCTTTGTCTGGCACCAAAAATAATATAAAGTAGGTCCCAGGGGCACCTCTCTGGGGAGCCCATTCCAAAACCAGAGTTTGGTTTGATTTGATGCGTTACATTTTATGTGGTACCCTTGAGCCGTGGGGTTCCTTGGGAGGGCTTACAGCAAGACAAGATGCAAAATACAATGATCTAATCAAAACTTTACAATAGCAAAAATAAAAAATACAATACTATACTCATAGCAAATGCAAATTCAAATACAGTATTAACAGCAGAGCAATACAAAATCAGTTACTTGATACGAGGGGTCTTCAAAAAGTTTCCGCACTTTTAAAGACTCTATTTATTAAGAATTTCAAAAACAAATCACATCACTTTTCTATATAGTCACCTTCCTTTGCGATGCATTTTTCCCAGCATCATACCAACTTTTTAATGCCATCAGAAATATATATATTTATATATATTTATAAAATATAAAAGTGTGGAACTTTTTTGAAGACCTCTTGTACCATAATATTCATAATGTCAAATAATTAAATACAACTAAGCCCCCTCCCCCACTCAAAGTCCCATACACGCCAGCACAGATTGGCTAAGAAAACGGTCAACACAACATTTCCCCTACATCACAACACAGCAGAAAAAGGCTCAATCTTCGGGGCCGTCCAAAGTTGAAGCAGCAGTGGGCCAGGTAAGATTAAGAAATGTGTCTTCACACTGCAAAAACGGTGACCTTTCCTGTGATTTTGCAGAGCTGCATGCTACTATGGCAAACCAGATCTGTAAGCACTCCTGCAATTTTACAGGAGATTTTACAACTTCACAAATAAAGCTGCAGAGCATGGAAGATGGGGGGGGGCTGCCCCCTGAAATCAGTAGCGCTCAAGTGATTTGAGTGTGACTTGCCCCACTGAGCTGTGCAGGGTTTAAAGGGAACCGAACTCTTGTAGCCCATGGCTGAATTATGCCTCATGGGCTTTGCATTCACAAGCAGTGTTTAAATCTTTGGGATTCCTTGGAAACTTGCTGGTCACTGCAGCCCTTCTTTTTGGCGCAGTGTGCATTCTGCTGCACTGGTTTTGAGAAATGACTTTGGCAGGAAAGCAGCCTGCAAAAACGAGCTGAATGTTTGCAAACTGGAAGGGCCGCTTCCTTTGGTCATAGGATGATTTCTGAAGTTCCTTTCTTGTCCTTCACAGACCATGTAGAAAGAACTTGTTTTCAGCTTCTTTCTTGAGGCCTGCTCCATTCATAAAACCATGCATTCTGTGCTAGGAGACCATCTGTTCTCTTTCATGCTCTTTCTCCGAGTTAATGTCTCCTCCACACAGGGTTAGAATTCTCTCTATGAGCTTGCCAAACAGGGCTTGCGGCAATTTGGATTGTATTACTAAGGACTTTTCTTGCTGATGTAAAAGCACTATTTATCTAGCATATTTTATTCTTGCAAGTCTTTGAGCTAACTTAAGCTGAGAGAGAGTCACTAGTCCCACTACATCAGAAAATGGCACCTGAGTGATTGAATCTAGGTCTCTTAGGTCAGAGACTTACCAGGTGGTTGTCTTTTAATATCCTTTTAAAAGGATGGGGAAGATTTTAGACCCAGTTGGTTTTTCATAGCCATTCAGCTGTTCCTGGAATGTAAAACTTGTAGGCACTAACTGCTTCCCAAGGCTTCCCATTGGAATGAATGGGGCCCATGAAGAGCACTACTGTGCCCTCTTGCATATGTACACAGGTTAGGTGGGGCTTGCTCAAAACTTCCCACTGGATTTTAAAAGCCTTATGTCTTTTCATGCAATGCACTGGAGTGTGTTAATCCTAAAAAACAAAGCAAGTGATGGGAGGTTTTATAAGCTGCAGTATATTTAGAAATCAGTAAATTACTCTGGCGAACAAATGTGTACCAGTAGCCTCCTGGCCAGCTCAGCAAAGCTGCAAGTCCAGGAATGTGGGACGCAACTGTGGTTTTCGAGCCAGTGGCAAGGAATGGCAGCCAACTGTGTACAAATGCCTTTAGAAGACTGCGGGAAATGAACTTTCAGGGTGGGAGGATGGAGGGGGAAAGAGAGAGAGAGGCGGGGGAACAGTATTCAAACTGAACACCAGCACGTTAAGCAAAGCTAGAGAAACGCCGTCCAGCTAGTGGGACTATGGGAAGCTGGCCAATGCACATGGGCTGTGGGGGCATGCTGGCTTTCTCTCCCCTTTGCACACCCCATGGATTATGGACCCTTTGCTCCCAGGGTAGTCCCGCATGCCAAGGGAACTGCTGGTCAAGTGGATGGGTTTGGGGTGAAGGTGGGGCTGTGGGTGTCCAAGAAATATTGCTGGTTCTCTAAACGAAACACGGTTCTCTGTGAAGCTTCTAGAGGTCAGAGGAAGTGGGAAGCTCCCAAAGAACAGCGGATTGCCTTTCCCACCCTCCCAGGTGTCCAGTAGTTCCTCTCTTGCTCATGCTGCCAAGGAGGAGGCAGGCGGATTCCCAGAGGGGTGGGACCTGTAGAAGAACTGAGCACATGCAGTGCTGAGTTCATTTTACTTTAGAAGTAGAACCAGTCCATGGCACATTCAGTTTTCCATGGCTTGCCTTGAGAAACCCGCTTTCCTTGCTGGCTTCCCTGCCAGCCACCACTGGTTCCATTGTCCACAGCAGGGCTGGAGAGCAGATGGCCTCCCCACCACCTGGGGTGCGCTTGCCCAGGACTGGTGCAAGGCTAAACTCCCATGGTGGGGCCTGTCTCTTGCACACTGCAGACATTTCAGATGGATTCATCCGATTCTGAGGAGGAAGCGGAGGAGCCAGTGGCGAGGAGGAAGAGAGGACTTCACTCTGTACATGAGCAGATGCTTCTCCCTCCGCTTCAGCTGAAGGCTACCTAGAGTTTGTGCTGCTCTGTAACCTGTTAAGTTCCAGGAAAGGAACCGCACTTCAAAGGGTTGTCATGATTGTGAGAACAAGACGGGAAGGGGTCGGTGTGTGGCAGCAAGCATGCAAAGGTACACTTACACGTCGCTTTGCGTTGTGTAGATGTGATCAAAGAGAGATTCTATCGCCATCCATTTCACAGGTATCCGGCCCTGGGGAAGAAGGAGGAAGATTACTGCTTGGCCCCGGCTTCGAAGGTGTTGTAACCCCCCTCTTAATCGAACATGCAGCTAGGGCATGGCTCGACACGGGTAAAAAGCATGCTCAGAGTGTCCTGTTCGCGTAGGAACAAGAACTCCAACGAATGTGCACGCTAAGCAAGGCTGACCACAAAGCAGGCTACGCTCCAGCATTACCACAGACGTTACGCCCTTGTACCCTCGCTTGCTTGCTTTAGCATAAAAAATGTGCAAATGTAGCTCAGTGGGGTTCCCCTATTGTTTGCTGTTATTCAAGCACCTGCATAGCCGTCCGTTGTAAAAGAGTATAAAAACTCTGCCCTCCTTCTGCTCGAGACCGCACTCTGCTCAAACGAGTGTGGTCCCTGCAGGTAATAAATTCCTCTCGAAAATTCCAACTGGTCTCTGGTCTCATCCGTAAAACCGCGGGACACAACAGAAGGCACACACGCCAGGAGCATTTCCTTTGCTGCGTTTACCTCGCACCTGCTTTTCAGCCACTCCTTTTACCTTATCTGGATTATAGCAACACATTCTCTGTGGAGGGCTGTGCATTATATTTCCATCATATTTCCACCAGTGTCAAAGCTGGGGAAGGAGGGAACCAAATGCTGTGACATGCAGGATGAGTCCAGTTATGTGCAGAATAGCCATTATGTGCAGAATGGCCACTGGTCTTTAACCCAGTGCTTTAATAGGGATGCTTCCTCCATTTTCTCTGGGAGAGGAAGAGTGCTCCCTTTACACAAAGTTTTCCGCCTCCCCAGTGGTTTTCCTTCTCTGCTTTCCTATGGTTGATTACACAACCACAAGGTGGTGCTAAAGTACAGAGCAGAACTGTGAATATACACAAGGGTTCTCACAGTGAATCATGGAGGCATCTGGGCAAATACTGCATGTTCCTCATTCTAAAAAAAAATGCAAAGGGGCTGGAAAATGTGGGAGGGGCCCTGGAGGGGTTGACAAGTCTATGGTTATGCAGTGTGAAGTAATTCCATTTCTTTCCCACCATGAATGAAGCTTGATTTGGGGGCTGTTGTTGTTGTTTGCTAAAAAATCTTTTCTGTACAACCAAGAGGACTAGAAACTTACTTCAAACCAAATCCTTAGCTTCTCCTTGGTGCCATATTTTACATGAGAAGATTCAGTGCAGCTGCAATTGCTTAAAATCAGTTCATTTCTTTTACTATCTAATACTGAAATAAGGTAATTTTATGTCTGGTTTTATTATGAGATTTTTAGACTACAGACAGTATGACTTTTAGTCAACTGAATCTGCATTGATTTGCTTTGGAAAAGCAGGCTGCAAACAAAGAAAAATAAACAGCGAAAATAAAAATAAACCTTTGAGCTTTTCTTCATGAGGCTCTTAATTGGTCATTAACCTGCTGAACCTGCTTTCGGTTTCATTGCCAAACTGAGCACTTCATTTCTTTTTCTGCTACACAGCCTCTGCTCGGTGCTGTGGGTACAGCTGAACAGCACAGATACCCAAAAGGAAACTGCACTTTCACATTTATAAGTAAATATATTTTCCCCGCTCTTAAAATAATAATAAAAAGAAGAAGAAGAGGAGAGAATAAAAACAAAAACTTCAGGAAAAGTGCTGCTTAGACACAGAAGCAAAAGTAGAGGGTTGTAACATCCCCTAAATAACCTGCATACAACCATGATTAAGGGATGAAAAGGACACAATTGCATACAAAAGTCCACTTCCTCCCATTTGTGATGACCATGCTGTTGCCAATGCACTGCTATCAGCAGAAAATGTAACTTAGCTCTGGTTTTAATGTCTGTCTGTGTAAGTACACAGGGCTTTGCAATGAAGCAAACACTCTTCAGAACCCATGAGAAGATTGGGGAGCAGTTCTCCTCTGAAGCATTCAGCCAAAGAAAAGTTGCTGAACGCTGAATACTGCTAAGAGGCTATCTAATCAAACAGGACTACCTGGGGGCAGCTGCCTGTAGTTCAGTATGAAAGGCAAAACGTAATTATATCAAGGGAAAGAGGCATTCCAGATTAGCAGATATGGGCTAGCGATCACACAGGGCAACTTGAGGTATGAAAGGAGAAGGATCCAGGTCTCAAGAGTGGCTACTGCTGCAAAATCATTATATTAGGAAATCATTAATGTCGGTGTGGGAAAAGTTAAAGATAAAACTGTATACTAAATTACCAAGATGGCTTTCACCTATGGAAGCTCTTATATATCCAAATGCATTGAATTTTGATATGATTGTGAGATATGATATTTTGGATAATGATGGAGGATTGAAACTGAATCAAGAAATACAAGAACAAGGATCTAATATTTCTTGGTGGCATATGGTGCAGATACAATTGAGATGCTAAAGACTATAGAATGTGGGGCTTTTATAAGGAGTTAACAGCATTTGACCACGTGATTTTCAAACAAATGAGCAAATGATTAAAAGATCGTATAATTTTCTACTAGATAGGAGAATGGAAGATGAACAGGTTAAGGAAACTATGATAATGTGGGCACAAAATTTTGGATATAATACTGAGTTAGAGAAATGGCAAAAGCTGTGGGAAAGAAATATTAAAGTAACATTAGCAACTTCATACAAAGAAAACCTGTATAAAATGTTTTATAGATGGTATTTGTCACCAAATAGGTTAGCTAAGGTGTTTCCAAATATGTCAAACGGATGTTGGAAATGTAAATACAAACTGGGTACTTTTATCATATGTGGTGGACCTGTGATAAGGCAAAAAAGTATTGGATTAAAATGGCTTGAGGAAATGTTAATTAACTAGAGAAACGGGACCATGCATAGATTTAAATATGTTTATAGTTTAACATAAAAAGAAAAAATGTGGGGGGCTGACCCAGCAGGTCCGATGTTCTCAATGATTGATGTTGTTTTTAGTTTCTTTTTTGTTAGGTTTATTAAAACTTCTTCAAAAAAAAAAAAAAAAGGAGTGGCTACTGCTCTCTCTGGCAGCAAGAATAATTATGGCCACATTCTAACTTTTCCGCAGTGCAACCACTCAGAAGAACAACAACTTTAAGATGCAAGAATATTCCTTCTCGCAAGCAAATCACTGAGAAATGACCCAAGACTTCCCGGCATTTCTTTACCAGATACTCCCAAAGTGCATTTTACATCCACAGCAAAACTTGTTGGGAAATAAGGCTAGAATTCCAGAGACTTGAAACTGAGCAATGGAGTTTTCCACCCTCCCACATGAAACACTAGATGTGGACAGACGTCCAGTTTGGATGGGGGAGTGGAAGCAGCTTCCAAAACGGCATGTCCATTTCTACCTTACCATGGGAAGCTTCACCAGAAATGGGCATTGGCTAAGCGAGGTGGTAAGACAAACTAAGTTTGTAAATGTTCGTACACACCTCTGCCGTCCTTCAAAACCTGTCAGTTTTATCCAAAATAGACTATCCTCGTTCATAACTTTGCACAACGCTACCTGGAAAGCCACTGCGATTTCATCAAAAGACCACATTGATACATTCCACCCAGCAGATGCTCCATCAATGGTGCTTTCTAGGGACCTTGCAAAAAACGAATGTTCTGCTCCCCGCCATCATCAGCCATTATGCAATAGCAATTATGCACTAAGTAGGGAAATCAAGCAGTCAATGTTTCTCTGAGTCAACCCCATTATGAAAATCCCACGGGGCTGAGAAGTACGTTTCTTGCTCAAGGCCACAATCATGTTCACTGAACCCATAATAGCTACTCCATCTCTCTCAAGACATATAACTTTTGTGTACTGGCATTTCTTAGGCACATCTTCATGCGCCACACCCCGATTCTTCTTCTAAAGTTGTGGGTTTTCCTGCTAAGCAAATCAGTCACAGGGATCAGAGATTCTGTGCTCTACCTTGCTTCTCTTCACATAAGAGTCTTCTTCATAAACATCTCGCGACAGGCCGAAATCAGAAATCTTCATTTTACGTCCTTCTGCTACTAAGACATTTCTGGCTGCTAAATCACGATGTACAAGCTTTGGGGAAAGGAAAGAGAGGATTAACGAGCAGCCATGTTTGCTACTGTAAAGATGAAGAAAACAGAGAGGATGAGGGCTGCCATGCCTTCATTTCTGCAAGGTACTGCATCCCACGGGATATTTGCCATGCAAACGAGATCAGATCCCCCATGGTTAAGGCTCGCTCGTCTGGATTGTCCAAGTAGCTGGAATTCCTGTTCGTATCACTTCCCACGTAGCTGGGTCCAACTTTCCGGCTTTCCCTCAGAAAACTCCGCAAGGACCCATATTTAGCATATTCCACTATTAAGTACAAAGGCCCTGGAGGGGGGGGGGGAGGAAGAATTGTAAAGCAGATTAGGTCAACTTGCTCTTGAGAATCCTATAGTAAAATGATGCAAGACTTTTCAGCAAGAAGGTGCATACCTGGAACCTGAAAGAAGTAGTCTACGTCAACAACAGTATAATTCTGTAGCCTGCGCACAAGTTTACTCAGATGAAAGTCCCACTAACTTCAAGTGGGTGGGGGATTGCAACCTTCATAATGCAAATCAACACAGCTTTTCATATGAATTAGGAGGAACAAGGAGAACTGTGGCTACCCTTGGCTCTTGGAAATACTAACCAGTCTCCTTTGGGCCATTAGATCTTTCCCATATATTTCTTAGCTTTGCTTTCATAGCTGTGGGGACTTGATGTTCTTACATATAAAGCAGTGATCTTCAGAAATTTGAACCCTATACCCAGTAACAGCATTTCTGCAGCTTTCTGCAGATGAAACTGGATATATACTGACTCGCCTAACAGTTCTCACCTGAGCATGCATTTTGAACTAATAATGGTTATGATGTTTTATCTTTCCTTTTCATGGTGATTTTCCTATCCTTTAATTTTGTTTTATCTCTGTCATTTTGTTTTATTTTGTTGAGACAGTGGAAGAAGAAAAATAGATAAATGGTTTTCTTTAAAAGAAAGCAAAGCAGAACACTCAAAGACATAAAGAAGCAATCTTATGCATATTCGAGCTGGTTATGCCCCAGTCTGCCCCAGTCAGCACTGCACTGAACTGTCTTCGTTTCTTTTTCTTCACCATGGCCAGAAGCAAACAATGAAGAGATAAATGCACTCATTTCTGGAAGCATGGTGTCGGGTAGCACATTGAGGAAAAGCAATTGGTGGAACTGTGCTGCATTCTTCCACAGTCCAACAGAAAAATCTCTCTTTTAAAAGGGTTTCATCGGATGTTTAGTGCAAATTTCCATGCAAATTGGACTGCATGAAGAGCCTGCCTAAAAAGCTCACAGTTTAAGCCATCCTCTGCAGGCCATGGTAATTCTTTGCTGCCTTGTGTTTTCTGCACCCTAATTAGAGTGCCTTGTTATAACTCTCAAGGACAGGCTCTTGCAAGAACGGTTCCTGACATTTCAATCTATTAGCAAACTTTGCCTTATAGCCACCCACATGAATAATCTCCTCGGAGAGACATCGGCTGCAGCAGCCTTAAAGTTCAAAACTTCCTTATCCCAGCTTGAATGCATTTCAAAACATACTTCAGATGTTTCCAAACATTCTTTTATTGTGCCATCCCCTGTCTCATCTATGGAATGGGCTGGGGTTCCAGAGGGAGCTAGTTCCCACTCACAACTCTCCCACGGCTTCCCATCTGTTCCTCCGTCTTATTTCTTACCGCAGAAAATGCATTAAAGGGAAAGAGAACAGAAAAGCAGTGCACAGCCTCCTAATGGGCAGCAACAGGAGCGCCCCGGTCTTAAATTCCTGGGCCAGAAACCACACACTTCTCAGCATTTTCCCTTCCTGTACTAACCCTACAAAAGACTCTCCTGTTTTTATCAAGTTTTACCAGCTGCCTCATCATAAATCTAGCTCCATTCCAAGTGCTATGGGGCTGGACATTGTGTATTCTGTGGTTTAAAAATAAAAACATGAAATTCTATATCAAATTAGTCCAACTTTTCTATCAACGAAAGTAGAATCCTGAGAGCTGTGGATGTGATGCAAATTAAGCGCGTTGGCCCAAATGCCATAGCCCTGCTAGTGCTGATCGTGGGAGGGAAATTAACCCACACGGAGCACTAAAATTCCACTGATTGGTTTGACTGCACAACATTCCCTGAATCCTCAGGCTCTATGGCTTGGGAGATGAACCCAGCATTGCCCACATACCTAAAGGCTTTAGTTTTGCAGCTCCAAGCATGAGAAAACTGCTTGTAAAACATGAAAAGGTGAATATGAAAATCCTCTGGAAGCTGAATTCTGAGCCTGATATATCTACACTTGAGCCAAACCACAGAATACACAGAAACCAAGTACAGAGTTATCTCTTTGGAGCAGTCAAAAGGAGGAAATCATGGAGTGGAAGTATACTCAGAAAATGCCCTGTCAGTACATTTATTCAAATCTATGCAGAGAAGGGTGTTGAGTTGTGTCATAGGGCAGCATACAGTAGATATGGCTAAGTAGGAATTCCAGAAAAGGAATTTAGGATCTAGGGATTGTACAAAATCCATATATTCCATTATAGTAATATTACAAGTTATATGCAGTTCCCTCAAAGTGGGAGATGGTTGCTATGCAACAACAAGCACGAGCTCTTTGGAGGAATACTACCTATTTTACCAGACTAATAGTATCCCTCTGTAGCATTTATTAAGCCCACCTTTTGAGCATTCTTTCTAAATGAAGCACCTGACCATTTTGTGCACCAGTCTGATAAAGTCATCTGCAGGGCAGATGCGTGTTACCTGCCAATTTGCTGGGCTGTACCTGGGTCAATGGAAGCTTCCCTCTCATGTCCAAGGCTAATGCACAGGTACCACTGCTTGGGTTGCCAAGCCTGAGTTGAGAACTCACCTGTGCTGAGTTCTCAACCCCTCGGAAATCCAGGATGGTGCCACCTTTGGGCTAAGGAGCCCTGTGCACGCCTCTTCTGAGCACAGTTAGTTCTGTTGCTCTTGTGCAGGCAATCCAATTATACATAGTGTACAGACAGATGTAACGCAATTATTGCTCCCAGTGGACAACAACTGCAAAAAGGAAAGTCAAAGCAAGCAGAGTCATTTTCTTTATTGTTTTGACACTGCTTAGAATCGGTTTCTGTTTCGTTGAAATTTTTAATTTCTTTCCCCTCTGTTGAATTGTTTTATATTTGAACTTTTCCTTATATATTTTGTAATTTTTCTTTCAAGGGTTGTTTTCTTCTACACGTTCATGTCTGTGGCAAGCTACTGAGTCCATCACATTGTTCGGAAGTGGCATATAAATCTACTTATCCATCATCACCTCTTGTGCATACCGTTTGCTCTATGTAAGGAGTGCCAGGCACGTACCGTCTTGGCTGCATGCACCATAAAGTTTGATGACATGTGGATGGTTGACTTGTTTCAAAAGGTTGAACTCAGAATACAGATCTCTGAGTTCACTTGGGGAAGCATTTTCTGCAAAACAGAGCAAGAAGAGAAATGCAGTCAATGAATGCCAAACCTCACTCTTGTAATAGTAAAATATCCACACACTATGGAGATCTCCAGTATTCCCCAGTTGTGCATTAGAAAACTACATACCTGGGCAGAGGATGGGGACAGGCAACAGATCTAATATAACAAGATGGTCATTTTGCACCTGAGACTTCTATTGATGTTCAGCTTTCATAAACAGGAAATGGACACGGTGGCTTTTTATTCTTCCAAGGGATATGCAGTGCTGCAGATCATGTCGGTATTGCTTGTGATTGTGCATTAACAGCATTAAATAAACAAGCCCACTTGGTGAAACTCCCTCTTCTACATGGCTCTTAAAGGAACAGCTATGCTGTCCTGCTTGGTTTCTCTATACCCTAATTACAGTTTCCTATCCTGAGTAACTTTGTGCTGAGTTATACAAGCAGCACAAACCTAGATTCTTTGAGGCCAGCCATGGGACCTGTGGACCCAATGACTAAGGAACAGCCTCCAAGAAGGCCACAAGCAGGGAAGGAGACATCATGGAGGGCTTGTGGAAGAGATGAGAGGAGGAAGTATTTAGACAACTCCAGAGGAAAGCAGCGTGGCCACCCAAAGTTTTCTGACAAACCTGCATCTGTAGGTGAAGGAACAACATATGTCAGGCTGCTGAGGAAAGAAGCGCTGCTTAGGGATTAAATATGATAAAGCAGTATCATTAAGAGGAGACAGGGAGATTAGAAAATGTTTCCTTGGTTTTCTACTTATAAAGGCAACACTTCCTTTTGAAGAGAAATTTGTTCCAGCCCAAGAAAGAGCTAAGAGGTGTGACATGAAACATCCTTTATCTCCAGTGCACTTTGTTTCCAAGTTTCACATCTGTTGAACAGGCTTGGAACTCATAAAATGCCAAGTCTTAATTTTATTTCATGAAAGGACGGAACAGACAGAAGCTGGGGTGGGCTGTTAACAAGCCAAACCAAAACCCAAAAATTGATTTGGGGACTCTTTCCTTTCTTTTAGGCAAAAGACTATGAAGGCATCTTGGATTATCTTGAAAGACATGCCCCATTAGATTCTTTAACTGATACCCACGCCATAGCAGTTGGGTTGCCATAACAACCCCTCATTTTTCAGCCCCACCATTCTATTGCCAAGGAAATGGAGAAACAGCTCTCCTGCGGAAGCAGACCAAACACAGAAGCATAGAAACAGAGTGAGTCAGGAGGAGCCTCCTGGGCCATCTAGTCTGACCCTGGCTCCACTCACAACATGCCTAACATGTACATGCCCAGCCTATCCTTGGACACCCTCACCGATGCGGCTCCAACCACCTCCCATGGAAGCCCACTCCATGCCTTTGGGGTCCAAGAGGTGAGGAAGTACTTCCTGGCATCCAGCTTGAACACTGGTTCCCTGAGTTTGGCTCCATTGGAACGCACCCTGCCCTCCTCTGCAGGGGAAAACAGGTCTCTACCCACCTCTGCACGGCACCCCGTCACATACCTGTTATGTCACCAACAGATCCCCTCAGAGTCCCCTCCTCTCCAGGCTGAAGAGACCCAGCTCCCTCAGCCTCGCCTCATACAGCTTTTCCCCTGCAATCCGGCCACCATCCCTGTGGCCCTGTGCTGCACCAATTCCAACCCGGCTATATCCTTCCTGTAATGTGGAGCCCAGAACGCAACACGTTTGGCTGCTATCCTGGTTCCAGAGTGGGCCTCTCTTTGCTGGTTTTGAGAATCATGCATCCAAGTTTGAGGCAGCCTGGCAAAAGGTAATGGGTAGAGCTACCAGATATTTAAGAACTTGCAAGGTAACATTAAAAGGGTACCCCTGACCCCCCCTTCTAGTAATCCACAGGAAAAGATTTGCCACGTCGAGGTACATCCTTTGCTAAGGTTCCCAGAAATGTACCACCGCTGTGTAAACAGAACCTGGAGTCAGGTGCAAAGACCTAAGATGCCTTGAACTGATTTCTTGCTCTGGACACCTCATGATGGCACACCTCTTGCCTGGTCACAAAGTTATCTAGATGATCCGGGCTGATGCCATGCCGAATAAATAGATGCTTGAGGTTTTGAGTATGCTGCCCAGTGCAGTCAGCTTGACTAGGTGAACGCCATCTTAAAAGCCCTACAGTTTTCACAGGGACTATGCTGGGGAAAGCCACCCCAGAGAAATAACTTCCCTGACTAGCCATCCCCACTCTGGATCTCTGTAGCTACTTTTCTTCACAGATTTTCTTTATGGCCATCCATCTGCCCACCTACCAGTCTGCCTACCTCCATACCTCTGGATGGCCGTCTTCCCCGAGCTTCCTTCCTCCTGTAGGCAACAGGGTGGGAAAGAGGGGACCTGGAAGGCTGCAGCTGATGGGCTTTAAGTCATTGACTTCATTGTGTCCCAGGACTTGTTTCCAAGTAGGAATGAAATTGGTGTCCTGCAATAGCAGCGGGTTGGATCTGATGGCCTTCTTGGCCCCTTCCAGCTCTACTGTTCTAAGAACAGGAGTGTGGCTGCAGCGGTTTATAGTGTAGACATGTAAATGTTTACTCTAAAGTAAATCCCACAGTGTTCAATGAAGCTGATTCCCTGTTATGCATGTGTAGGATTGCAGCTTAGAGACTGCACTATAATGCAAGCGGTATAATTCATTTGCCCTAAGAAAGGAATGGTTTAAGAATGCTAAAACCCTGCAGGCATCCTTACTAAAACCCTGGTTCGCAGGTAACAACCAACCAAGAGTACAGTCTGAGCATGGGTTGTTGAATCCTGCGTTGTCTATGACCGGGTTCACATGACATGCTAAGCGACTGGGAATTCTAAGCCACCCTGAGAAGCCATGGCTTGTTCTAGGGTTTAGGAAATGCTAACTGGCTTGTTGTATCATTTGAACTCAGACACAACAGGCCGCAGTCAAGCTGACGAACGTAAGAGCCCACTGGCAAAGATGGTCTCCACTCTGTCCAAGGAGCTCTGGCTGGGGATTGCCATCAGTTTCCCCCAGCAATGCCAAGAGTGTAGAGGGAAGCCAGTGGTGTCTGCCTCATGACCCCCACTTGGGGGCTGGAGAGGCGGTGGGGAAAGCGACAACATAGTGCAAGAAGTGAACCCCATGAGACCCAGCTGTCATGTATTGCTCTGTATTGCAGAGGAGCTGCACACGGGAGGAGCTGGTGGGCAGAGCGCTTGCTACGTCGACCTTTCCTGTTATTACGTGACAAAATGGGGCACGATTTTTATGCATCGGATTATCTGAAGGGGAGTGTTCAAGTGATGCTGGCAAATGTGCTCTGAAAATGCTCTTGGGGACAGTTTGAAAGCAGCAGCCGAGGTAAGTCACTGCCCGTGGGCCCTGCTGGGAATGAATGCCTTCGTCAGCACAGAAAACAGTCCGAATAGAAATGGAACGCTTTGGGACATCCGACTGCAATGGTGGAGCAGTCTGACTGCCACCAGACAGCTCTGTGCTTCCAAGCCAGACCTCTGGCATGCTCATCCAAAGGGATCGAGGCCTTTGTACCTCCACAGAGAGTACCTTTGAGCATCTTGACTGCCACCGTGGTGTAGCCAGCCTTCCCCTTCAGCCTGAACGCGGTCGCCTTGACGACCTTGCCAAATTCTCCTTCTCCGAGTGTTTTGCCAAGCACCAGATTCTTCCGTGGAAATTCCCACTTTGGGTCCTCCTGTGGGAAGAAGCAGCCATTAAGTCTGAGAAGACTGAGTAGTGGCAGCATGGATTGGGTATATTTCCCTCCTGACCTAGGCCGACCCATGCTGGGTGAGTTCTTAAGGCCAGGCCTTAGTGCAGTTCTTTTACTAAACTTAACTGGTTACAGAGCAGCATGAAGCAAAGCAGCATTGTCCTTGAGATGTGGGAGAAGCATCTGCCCATGTAAAGAGTTGAATCCACACTGAAACTTCCCCTGCTTTCCTTCCAGCCTCCAAGTGGCTCCTGCTGCTTGCCAGCTAAAAGGCAGGGGCACTGGACCTGCCATGACTGGCTGGCTTGCCTCCCCCACCATTGTCTGGTGGGTCAAAGCACTCTCCCTGGATCCCTTTGCCTCCCCTTCCCCTCCAGCCTTGAAAAGCATTCCCTCCTTTTGAAGGTGGGCTGATTCTCACGTTCCACCTGAGAAGCGTTATTAAACGTCCTTGAAAGCGGCAACACCTCCTTCCCAGAATCAGGTGAATCCCTCTGAGCAGACCACAGTGTGTGGGAGTCGGGTCCCTTCTCTGCATTTAAGCGGCTCCTGCATGCTCAGAGCTCCAGCTGTGCATCAGCACAGTCACGCTTAGGCTTGGCCCATGGGCAGCTGCAACCAAATCCGGACCTGGCAGGCTACATTCCTCTCTACAGGATTTCTGAGACTGGTGGCTTGGTCTGAAAACAGGGGAGCCTACGGGCAGCAGGCAAAAAGGTTGCTTTGTTGACGAGGCAAAAGCAGGTCAGACACCTCCCAATCAACCAGCCCAGGTGACTTCCCAATGCAATGGCTGAAGTGAGACACTCTGTCGGGACCTGAGGAAGGTTCTGAGAGGGCCGCTCACTCACTGGGCCTGCCCCCAGTCCCATGGTTCCTGGCCACAACAGCCCTAATGGGTACTCTTCAGGACTATGGTGCTATTATCCGGACATGGTAGGTTGCAATTATGGTGGAATTCCTTCCAACTTTCTTGCTCTCCCCGGCATACCAGAAGAGAGGACGGAATGCTCTGTACAAAAACATCTTGCCACGATGTATAAACTTGGGAGAAACTGAAGGCATTTCAGGGTTCATCTCAGACAATTGCCTTTCTGTTTTGGGAGCCTACCAAGCCTGAGTGAATGGAGCAGCTAAGGAAAGAAAGTAGGCAGTACACATGTCTCCAAGCAGCCATCAGCCTCTTAAATCTAAATATATTGCGTTTACACAAAACAGCATTGTTTCATTGGTAGGGACTCCCTGAAATGGCCCCAATATTAAAGCCAGATCAAGATTTTATGCACGACTCAGAGATTATACTAAAATGGGCTTTTAAAGTTATGGCTCTGGATAATCACACTGGGACTTAAGCCTTAAGCATCTGTCATTTTATCTCACATGTCTGCAGTAGATGATCACTTAAACAGAATTCTGTTTTGCTTAGCCATTAAAATCATTTTGAGGCTCACCAACCCTCCTTTCACATCCTTCCTGGGGCTTTGTTTTGGGTTATCTGGGACCACCTAGGGTAGTTGGCAGGTTTGAAGCTATTGGTCTGAGACAACATTTTGATATAATGCTCTCAATTTATCACTAGAGTCTATTTTTTGTGGTAAGCCGCCCCGAGGCTTTTGGCAAATGGGGCGGCATAGAAATGTTCTAAATAAATAAATAAAAATAAATAAATAAATCCTAGGTACTTAGGGAAGAGCACAACACACTGGAATGCTAGTCTTTCTGGCTAATGGGGCAGGATATAAATCCAATCAATCAATCAATCAATATGGATAAATAAAGGACCCTTGCCTGTAGTTCCTGATTCTCCCAAACAAGAGTCTAATTGTCTAGTAGTGAGAAGGGCAGGCACTAGTCCTGACAGATCTGGAGCCATGTGCCCTAGGACAGTTCACAAATACCATCTGCTGTGTTGATCCAAAGCAACAAACCCTTCCAGCAGCTTTATTCTCCAGGGGAGGGAGCAGGTCTTTTGTGAAGCGAATGGGTTGTAATTGCCCATTCATGACAAAAGCATCCCAAAATACTTTGCATTACAATGGAAACCATGTATCAGTTGCTGGGAAAAGGCATTTCGCCAAAGCTACTGAGACAAGTGCAGGTAAGTTCAGAGCAAACAGGGAATTCTGCAGGTAGAGATGGTAGACAACACCAACATCTCTGTTAATTAAAAATGTGGGTACTGCATTCTTGTGAATCCCAGCTCTGCCACACCACTTCAACCACTTCACATGCTGCCTTCACATCATCATTATCAAATTATTATTATTATTATTATTTCATTTCTATACCACCCCACAGACAGAACTCTCTGGGAGGTTTACAACAGTTCATAAAACAAATAATAACATATAATATTTTTAAATTCAGAAAAAAACTTTAAAAAGTTTAAAACAGCTAAATCAAACAATAACAAAGAAAAACTCAGTAAAACATCTGAGACTGGCAATTCCCTCAAGCACCTGGATATCCAGATAAGTCTTTAAAACCCTTGGCATAAAGGGCTGTCTTGTTTGTTTGTTTATTTTATTTTTATACTGCCTAATAGCTGAGGCTCTCTGGGCAGTTAACAAAAGTTAAAAACACACCACAAGAAAGAGAGAGCAAGAGAGAGAACAAAAACATCAACCTAAGGCAATAAAACCACAGCAGTTGCAACCAAAGCAGCAGGGCAGTATAGCAGCAGTTCAGGATAAAATGCAATACTAAGATGCAAGTTAAAAAGTTAACCATTAAAATACTGGGGAAAAATGTTCTTCACCTGATACTGCAAAGATTATAGAGTAGGCACCAGGCACACCTCTTAAGCGAACACCGGAAATATGGCAATTTTGGTGCCAGCAGGGCTGCAGTGGGGAGGTTGCCCATAAGTGGGGGGGGGCACCCAGAGAAAGCCCTCCCCTTGTTGCCCCCCTGCCTACTTCCTCTGGAGTCAGCACGGGGAGGAAGGCCCCGGCGGTTGAGTGTAGGAGTAGCCAACCAGATTGTACTTGGAAGAGGCTCTCCGACAGATACTGTGGTTCTCGGTTGCATATGGTGCTTCACTGGAGCCCGCCTTCACCCATCTCCCGCCTTTGGCACATACAGCATGCTCTGCACTAGTTAAAGGAGCCTCCCGCTGAAGTCCCATCTTCCATTTTATGGAGAACCCAACAGCTATTTGTGGAGCTATCTCTGGTGAAGCTGATGGCTGGAAGAAAGTGAAGACCAAGACACAAACAGGCTACTGCAGTAACCACAGTGCATGTTGTTTTTAAAGCTGTCCATCATTTAATTCTTAGAAGTATGGAACTTCCTCAGGCAAGGAAATGAGCTGCATATTTAGTACTACTACAGTTGATTCAGCTGCAGTGGGAGGCAGCCAAGTGAGGTCGCTAGGAAATATTAAAATAATTAATGGCAGGCTTGGGGAGGAGCTATTAACCCTAATCTAATGGTTCATTCCTGTAGAACAAGCGATCATTTATGGGTCCATACCAAAGGATGTGAACTAACAAACAAGTGATTGTGTTAGACAGTGTACAATCAAATGCACCATTTTCTATTCGGATGGAGCCCTTTTGAGCCAGCAAAGTTGAGGCAAGTTCTTTCCCAAGATCACAAAATATACAGGAAAATCATCCCTATGCAAATACACTGCAGTTGTATCAACCAGAGGCATTTTTGGGTGTTCAGAGAGTTCTGCTAGCACTGCCCTGTTGTACTATTTACAAAGGGCCCTGTGAGAAAAACCAATCTTATTACCCAAATTGTAGGAGTCAAAGGCTGGAAGAGAATGGCTTGACTAAGCCCAGCCAGAGTGCAGTAATCCTCCATCAGGGTTCCAGAATTTGGGAGGCTGGTGCAAAGCTTGTCCTGGGTGGGCCACACCAGCTACCCATGACCAGTTTCCACTGATTCACCAGCTGCAGCCTTCTTGCTCTGGTAACCTCCAGGCTGGGCCACAGGAATGTGTGAAACGCAAGTAAATGTGGTGCTGTGCACAAAGACCGCCCATGGGCTTCCACTGGTGTCGAACTTGGCAACTAGAATGTCCTGCAATGGGAGGCCACGGAGTGCCACTTGCAGAAGCACACTGCGCCCAAGTGCTTCCAAGCCCAGTTCGATGTAAGATTTTAACGCCCTGAATGGTGTGTAGTTCATAAAACTATTTGCTGTCTATTGCTAGCGCTTAGAGAGACCTGTTGGGCTATTCAGCAGCACACACATTTGAAAATACACAAACAAACATCAGGGAATCTTTTCTATGGGAAGAACTGCAGCAGCTGGGCCACTCTTTTGGTGGTCCGTCCATCAATATTTTTAAAGTACGACTATTTTGATAATTTCATTGCTGTCAGTCGTCGATTGATTGGGTTCTTATGCTGGTGATTGCAAGCCACTCGAGGGGAGTCTGCCATTGTATGGTAAACACGTTTAGCACCTCACTCCATCACCAGTTCACACAGACCTCCCGTTTTCATGCATGCGCTCCCTATTCTCCAAAACGAATTACTCCCTCCTGCCTCCCGTCCACATGTGCACGCACACCCCTTCTCACATTCTCCAGTTGGAGAGGCATGCGAGGCATCTGGCCACGGCAGAAGGGACTGGTGGGGCTTTGGGGAGGGGAGTCCCACTGGGGAATCTCATTCATCCTCTCCATAGTGCCAGCCAGAGGCTGTCCATCCCCCCTTTCCATGTGGCTCCTCCCATGCCAAATTGCCTGGGCATTAAGGATGCCAGACGCACCTTCTCCAAATGCACACAAGACTGCTTCCAACTAGTTCCAGCACATCACGAGGGAGGTCAGAAACCAGTCCTATCAAAAATGCTTCAGTTTCCCTGGGAAAAAAAATCTTTGGGGTGTTTTGCAACTTGTTTTTGGCAAATGTGTGGTGACACCTGCACACCTTTGCCTGTAATCCCCAGGAAGGACCCTTTTAGTAAAGCTGCTGCCTATTTGAATCTTCGTGGCACAGACAAGCAAACTCAACACCCTTTGGAGGCTTGCCAGAGCATGTGTGAGTTGGCATTTGGTAGCCAAGGGCTGTCAGTAAAGGGATACTGAGCAAATATTTGTCTTAGATTTGCAATTGCTGTCTGTTTTGAGCCTTCTGGAAAGGATGGGATAACATTTGAAGAAATAAATTTTCCCCAAGGAAATACAGAACAACAATAAAGGCAGAATGCTTGCCCTTCCTTTCAGATGCTCTTTAAGCGCAGAAGTGTTTTTAAAAGTCTGCTGAGCACCATTAAGTCAACAGTTCTCTGCAAATAAGGAGATATTTACTAAGAAATAGGCCCATCTCTTTCAGTTGCTAGAAAAGCATGAATCAGGCTGCAGTCCTGTAATACAGGGGTTCCAATGAACTCGGCCTCTACCAACAACGTTTAGTGGCAGGTTGGGCAACTTGTGATCCTCTAATATTATGGCCTGCAGCTCCCAGCATTCCTTGCATTCACTATGCTGCCTAGGGCTTGATGGGAGTCGTACACCAAAACTTCCAGAAAATCACAGGTTGCCCACCCAATGCAATGAATGTTCAGCTATTTGACCCTGGAGGCACACTCTAATTCTACAAGGCTCAAATCCTACTTAAAATTATTACGCCAAGAGAAGTATGTCGCGCTTTCAATTTTAGTGGCTAACAGTAACAAAGATGCAGAACATTCAGATCTTGCATCTATTTTTCTTCTGAGCCGAGACTCATCAGTGGGCTATGAGAGCTTTCCCAGTGAATTCCCACAGCATCGGGTTGTACCCATTGGGAACCAGTGTTACAGAAGTGAATGGAGCTGGGTGAGTTCTAGCGGCTTCAGTGACTGGCATCAGCAGGTGTCCTGCAAGGATGTGCAACATTTCTTTTACATGTCCCCTTCCTGTAAAGCTTGGGAACTTTGCTTTTCAAAGATCACCCCCTTCTTGCTCCCAATCATACGTGATCTTGCTTATTTTGCGCGAGAAGAAATGCCTTCTCATGGTGAGCTGATGCTCCAACTAAAGCAGGCCCATGGCTATCTGTGCTGGCTGGCTGGCTGGCTGGCTGGCTTTTATATCCCGCCCTTCACAATGTCTCAGGGCAGTAACCTTCCTCCCTTTTTCTCCCCCCACCCCTTCTTCTTTCTTTTTTAAAAAGAAAGCAATATTTCCTATTGACAGCTGGGAGGGCCAACTTCTTGTCCCATTAGTGTGGGACTTTTTCGTGTAGGATTGTACATAAAAGCTTTAAGTGAGTGAGTGAATGAAGCAAGCCAGCAAGCCTGGGGGCACACCAAAAACTCAGGGACCATCCTGGGAAATGAAGAAAATGCTGGTGGCTGCGGGCCGATGCTTTCCTCTTCAGCGTGGCCATTTTGCAGCGGTGCCCAGGAGAGCTGCTCCCATGGCCAGACACGCCCTCAGAAACACAGCCTACTCCTGATCTAAACCATTAGTGAAAAGCCTGCCACATGGAGCAGCTGACAGCGGCAAGAACTTACTGTTATTTTAAAGGTGTCTACTGACATTTGGTTCTCAGAGTCCATTGATGGTCGGCGGACGTTAGAAGACGAGTAGCTTATCGGGTAGGACTGGGCTGGGCGCCGGAAGGTCATTTCCGCAGAGGCGATAGGCGGCTTTGGAGAATTCTTGTGATAGCGATGGACAAAGTAGGAAGACAGGAGCACTGAAATGATGAAGGACAGCAGGACACCCCCAGCAATCACAGTTTTGCACATGTCGTTGCACAACGGCTCTGTAAAGAGAGACGAGTTTCATGAGACCGCTCATTCCAACTTTTCCCCTTTCCATTCCTCACAACGGCTACGTGCACGGCATTTCTACAAAAGCAAGATTTCGGGAAAACAAAGGAGGGTTTTGCAGAGGAACCTGTACTTCATGTACCGCAGAGCATGTCGCTTCCATGGGTGAGACTATTCTAGTGTTACTAAGAAGTGGCATCCGCAGCGCAGCAAATCAGCGGGATTTATTGTTCATGGTTAGCCAATCAGCCCAGGGAAACAGAGATAAACCCTCCCTTTCCTTAGTTCTCTTCAGTCACTTCCTTCCCATCTTTCATTCTCTTCAATTTCCCCGTCTGATCAAGCGCTAGCTATAATGCCATATGCTAAATAAGAAAACCACTCTGAAAATTAAATGCTTTCATCTTTTCCTGATTTTCATCTCTACTTCGGGGTGTTAAGCTAACCAGCACTGTCGCTATCTCAGCATTAGCATAAAGTGCACAATCAAAGGACACAGCTTTTACAGACCGGGAACTGGTCTATACAAGGGAAATTTCTCATCTCCCTGGAAGCAGATCTCACAAAGCGCAGGAACCATCATGTCGTATGTGAACACCACTGATTATGGATTGTGAAGAATCTGATCTGCGGGTGGGAATCTGTTGGATTTCCACAGCTCAACTCTTTGGACTCTGGCCTGCCTTCTCTCTTTCCTAAGTCGGCCTCACACTGAGACTTTGCAAAGGTGTCCAGTAGGAAGCAAATTCAAGCAGAGTTTGACTTCTGCGCACGTGACTGGTAGGCTCGGTGCATTTTGTGTAAAGAATCGCATAATCTGTGTGTTTCGCACAACAGGTTACGTGCATTGCATACATTGTGCAAAGAATCACATGTTTTGCATGCATTCAACAGCGAATCTACAAGTATTCCAGAGCATATGCAGACTTGATCACAGCTCAGCTCACTTCCTGGCCAAGGCCAAGAGTGGGAAAGAAGCCCAGCCAGCACACAAGAGCCGGATTCTGGCCTGACGTTCACTTCCTTACCACTGATGCAGAATCAAGGGACGGATACTCACTACATGATGGTCCAAGTCATGAATGATTATCAATATTAGACTGCATTTGTATCCTGTCTTTTTCCTATAGTGAGGATCCCAAGGCAGCTTACACACCTCCATTTCATCCTCCCAACAACACTCCTGTGAGGCAGACGGGGCTGAGAGGCTGTGACTGGCTCAAGGTCGCCCAGTGAGCTTCATGACTAGAACCTGCATCTCCCGGATCTCCCGGGTTCCCAGTCCAACCCTTTAACCACCACACCGCAGCGGCTCTCTCTCGGCACTCCATACTCCCTGTAGTACGTGTTGCCTCATAACAGAGTTAGGAATGTGTGGTGTGGTGTTGGGGAGAAGACAGAACCACTCCAATTCACAGGTGAACAGAATTCAGAAATTATTCCAAGCATACAAAGGCCATAAAATACTTAAAGGATAGCCAGTAAGCAGGTGGTGATGGCACTTTAAAAAACAAAGCAAGACAACAGACAAACACCTGAGGATTCTTCCACACAGAAAGAACAACTTCTGCAATACAGCATCTTCTCACTTCCAATGGCACACAGTTGATTGCTTATTTGAATTATTCCATCATCGTGCATAAAAATCTCTTCTTGTAATGACTATTTCCATGCCAGGAAGAAAGTTAAGTGGTTGAATTGCTCTGAGATTATACTGATGCACCATCCCGCAATTACATTTGTGGCCATGTCTTGTATGTTTCCTTCCATTTGTTGGCCTTTAAATACACACACACACACACACAGCGTCATGAAGGCACTTATCTATCTAAGAGGAAAGCATCCCTACAAAGTTATTGGTGCTTCCAACAATGCAAGTGTAAAACCAACATATAAAACTGAGACTCACCTCTGATATCATTTTTCTCGCAATAACAGCTTATTCCTGGAAAGCAGTGACAAACTCCATGTCCCGCCTTAATTCCAGTTCCAAGAATGCCTCTCTGGTGTCCACCAACGATGTTAGTCCCTAAATTAAACACATATGTAAGCAAGCTGCATCCCAGTGAGACTTCTGAAATGTTGGCTTATTATAACAGGAGGAAGAAACCTGGGCACAAAAGCTGGCTACTCTCTTGGGTCTACCTGCAGATAGACTGCATGGGAACTTGCTTTAGGTAGCCAGTCATGATGACTAACTGCTCCTGTTACGGAACAGCCTTTCTTAAACAGTACATTAAAGAATAATGCAGAGACGAGACCTGAAAGAAATGCAATGGCTTACAGATTTCAGCATGCATGCAAGCTGCTCTTTTTATTGAAAAAGCTTGTTAGTGCCCTTAGCTACACAAGTCAACAGGACTTGCCCACATACAACATCATCAGATGGAACAGGATGTCTCCTCAGACCACAAGGCCAACCTTGATTCTTCCGTATGTCATGCCTGTGTCAAGGCTCCCATCCCAGTCTGGAGGAAGTGGGGCAGGGCAGATGGATGAATGTAATGAAAAGTCAGAGAAGGGACACACAGTGAGGCGAGCTCATGCGTGATGGAGCTGATGGCACAGAAAAGGTCATGAGCAAAAGCAGGCAACTGGACAGTCCAGTAAGGATGGGCATGTCAGGACGCAGAAGGGCACCATTTTAATACTCTGCCTAGGGCACTGAAGTGTCAAGATCTTGCTGTGAAACACTGCAGGGGAAAGTGGGCAGGGACACCTCTTTTGTGCTCTGGGAATTAAGAGAAAATGTATGATATGCTATATATGCGGACCTGGCTTTACGAGGTCAACACACACGTGTCCTGGCCTTTTGAAAATCAAAATAATTCGGCCAAGTTGGTACCTGGGTGGGAGAAAGGCTGAGAACCTTTACAGGGGCATCTTATTTACCTCAACTCAGAGTTTAAAGGGGTTACTCTCAGGTAAGTGGGTGCAAGATTGCCACTTAAATATGCTATCCTGAGCATACATCCACATCTTAATTACAATATAAGTACAATTCATGCAAATTCATTGTGGGCTACAGCACAATCTAGCAGAGAGAACAAAGAGAGTACCAGGTGCAGGAGAAGAGTTTTTCCCTTCTTAGATGAACCAGTTTAGCCTCACTGCGGTTGAATTTCCTCATCTTAAAATGGCAATAATAAACCTTAACAACTTTTGCAGAGTGCTCAGAGACACGCTGACTCAAAAGCACACAAGACGAGTGCTAAGTATAACTGCATTACATAATCCTTTAAACTACTATTAAACTTTCCAGGTAGGATACAGGCTATTACAGAATATAAGCACCCGATGTGGCGGAACCAAAGCACATAGCACAGATTAGCTGCAAAGAGAGAGTCTAAGTGAATGATTACAACCGAAAAAGAAAAAGTCACTACCCTCAATACTGAGACTATTTTCGTGTTCTTTCGCATCTGCATTATGTCTTTAATTCCTATTGCATGTCATCAGACAACCACCCAAAACCCTCAGTTTCTGGCACAGCCTCTGCGGCAGAGTTGCTGCAGCTGGACAGAAGCAAAACAAGAGGGAGAAAGGTTAGGAGCCAGGGCTGAAATCTCCTTGCTGTCCCTCTAGAAGCTCTCTGGAGCATGGGAAATGCTTAAAACAAACTCACCTTAGATATGCTATTACAATATATAGTGCACACTTCCATGATCGCAGGGGCATGAGATCTGTTGCTGACGGGGAGAGAAAGACTAGGTTGTATCCCATGCACCCCAAATGCCCACAAAGGGCCCTTCCACCTCTTCTCACAGTGCCCTCCTGCACCCCAGCACCCCCTTCTGCCAAAGCTCTCCTGAAGGGCAGGCCTGGGAGATCACGGCGAGGGAAGGAAAGCTGCCATGAGGAGGAGATTGCCACAAATCGGGCAGAGTTAGATTGGGGAGCACAGGGGGTTGCAGGAAGAGGGATGCAAAAGGCCCATCCTGCAAGAACCCCTGGATACCACCCATTCTAAAATGCACCTGTATCTGCATGCCACAACCTTTCCTCCACGCAGCACCGAATGTATCTGCATATTATGCTTTCCAGGGGACTATTACTATGCAAATCAAGCACACGTTCGATCCATTGGTCCACAGACATGCTTATTACTCTTTCTCTATACACCGGGTGTTAAGAGTAGGGGTGACTTTATGAATAACCGTGAGATGACAGATGGTCCTGCCCAAGTGCTCAACAATGCATTTCCAATTTGTTGTAGCAAAATGTTTTGCATGAGCTACCCTGCAGCACCTTAGTTTCTTTGCCTGTGCATCTTCTCACATAATTTGATGATGCTGTTTGCACAGTACTTATAAGAGTATTTCAGGTAACATTCGGATTCATTTGTAAAAGCTCACACCAAAGCCTTGGATTTTATCGTGCTGCCCAATATGCCAACGGGATGCCTCTTCTATGAACAGCTTGAAGAGCATAACCAAAGTTACGGTTCTCATTCGAAAAGCAGAAGTGTTTTAATCCAGCTACGCAACTTTGAAAAAAGTTCCGTCTTCGAAAAAAGGAAGCCCCTCCACACACAAAACAAGAAAAGAAAACCAAGCCTGAAGTCTGTCACAGCAGGTCTGGCTCTGCAAGATAAGCGCAATGTTGACGTGGAAGATGCAAAGTGGAATACCTATCACTGGAAAAGCTAAGCGGGGGGAAAGCGCGATTCCATACTTGTGCAATCCTGAGGGCAGATTCTTTTGTCCTTGCTTTCAACAGCATCACACGTTCCATCTGGACAGGTCCTGATGCTAGGACTGCAGGTTGAATAGTTTGTAGTTATCCCTAGACACAGGACACAAGCAAAAGAGGGGATGTGGCATAAGGACTGGGCAGGCTACCCTCAGCACCTTCATAAGTGCCGCACAGCAGGATTATTAAAGCAGTGCTCACCCCGAACATTTAGTATTACTAAAATCAGGCTGCACAGAGATCCCCATTCATAAAATTCCCAAATGAAAGAAAACAAGTAGGCAAGTGTTTTCGTTTTTCATTTCGGACGCTTTTCTGAATCCGATAGCAATTTGTATGCACTTTCATAAGTGAATTAAGGCTATGCTCATGGTTGGTTCGTGCACATTTTCAGGGGAAAAGGAGCTTTTGGGGGCATGGGACGCCCTCCCAAGCCTTCCCGTGCTGCTTTGGTCTGCCCTGCACTGCTTCTGCTCTCCTTCAGTGCCATTTTCTTTCCACACTGGTTTCCCCATGATCCATCAAGGATCATGCAAGTGAGTATGATGACATCACAGTGCAACACAGCCAATTGGACCTGAGTGTGTGCCAGAATCACTGAGGGCACAGGAAACCAGATTACTCTCCCTCTGGGAACAGAAGCAATGCATGTCCCCATTGCCAAGGTAACCAGCTGATTTCCTCCACCTGGTGATGCTTCCATGAAACCATCATGCTGGGAGCATTGGCCTCGTTGCCTTGGGAACAGGGATGCTCCCTGTCTTGTCACTGGGTCCTGCAAAAGTTTCATTGCAATGCCTGGTTGCTATGGCAATGGGCACACATCCCCCTTCAAACACTTTGAGACTGTGTGTGTGTGTGTGTGTGTGTGTGTGTGTGTGTGTGCGTGAGAGAGAGAGAGAGAGAGAGAGAGAGAGAGAGAGAGAGAGAGAGAGAGAGAGAGAGAGAGAGAGAGAGAGAGAGAGAGAAGTGCTGTACTGTAGCTCTTACTAAATCTTCCATCAGCTTTGGGTACCAGCTTTGGTCGTGGTGTCCTCTTGGGCTGATTTTGGGGTTACTGGAAGCACCATTCTTTGGTGGCTCTTATCCTCTCAGCCCGGCTGAGCTTAGCACCTAGTTTTTAGGGCATGCTTATCACCCCCCTCCCGATATTTAGGGATTCCAGAGGGCCCGCATTTGTCTCCAGGGTCATTCAACCTCTATCTGGAGTTGCTGAGAGTGTTCATTAGGGTCACGAGCACACCGGTAAGATGCTGCTGGCATTTCTCGGTAACTTCTGGATCAAACCATCCAGGTCTTCGACTGCTGTATACATGCAGAGGTGAGCTGGATGAAGACCAATACATTGTGTCTGAATCTGGACAATCCATTGGCCCAATCCTGGATTTGGTTCCATTATCAGTCAGTCACTTATGCTGTATTACCCTCCCCACTTTTTTAACCAAAGATCACCACAAAACATTAACAAAAGCTAAGTCATCATTCCATGCTTTATACACTGCTGGCTCTGAATCAGACAAATCCTAATATAAACTGTCTCCATGGCAATTTACTAGACGTCCAAATTTATGTTCTGCCACTGCAGACAGATTGGGTTTACAAGCTCCATATTCATACTGATTATATAACAATATAGCCTGCCCATGTTTTCCATTTCTCAGCCATGCACAGGATTTCATAGGAGAAATATGGACAATGCAGGATATCAGTGGAAAGCATCCACAGCTCCCTGCATCTTCCAATAACCCAATCTTGGACTACCCAGTGTCTTTAAAGATAACTTCTCTAAAAGCAGGGAGGACATAATCTGAAAGAAGTGGACAGTAAAGAAATTCCCATTACAAGAAAGAAAATGATAAATCATAATAGCAACCCTTTGACAGCTTGGGGATAGCAGAGATGCATGGAAAGTCCTTTGCCCCAAATCTCTCTCTGTCACAAATCCAGATTCCAAAGCAGTCCTGATTCCCATTTGGGTGCTGGACATCCAAACGTACCTTTCCCGTTTCCCTGTCGCCACTGGCATTTCCCTGTGAGCACTCCAACGCCTCCACACTCTTCACACTCTGATCGGGTCTTGCTAATGGCGCAAGCGTCTGGGCAGTCGTCACTGTTATGTATAACTACAAAGAGAAGACACCACTGTTGACAACCACAACCACAAGTTATTACCAAAGCTGGACAAGTGAAGAAGACATTCTTTCCTCTGAAAACAATATAGACAATTGCGAAGTTTTACACTTTGGAAAAGGGAACCACAGGAACGGTTATCTGATGGGGTATACTTGGCTCAACAATACTACAAGCGAGAAGGATCTTGGACTTGCTGTCAATCACAAGCTAAATATGAGTTAACTATTGATGTGCTCGACTATTGTTGAGTTCTGGGCATCACACTGGGATAGGAAAGCATTCGTCAAGTCCTTGACAAGCTGTCACACAATCTCTTCTTGATCATTCCAGAGTGCAGGACACAGAATAATGGGCTTAAGTGACAGGAAGGCAGATTGCAGCTGATATTTCCTGACTGTTAGGGCAGCGTGGCAATGGAACCAGCGACCTAGGCAGGTAATGGGCTACCCCACATGGGAGGCATTCAAGAGTCAGCTGGACAGTCCGGGACACCTTGGAGACCTGCCCTGAGCAGAGGGTTGGACATGATGGCCTTGCAGCCCCCTTCCAGCTCTTCTATGATTCTGCGCAGTTCCTAGCCAACCGCAGTTTCTTAGAGTACAGCTCCTATTTTCTCACGCAAGTGGTGGACACTTAATTCAGAACATCTGAAAACATTATAAACACATCTGTTTCATACAGAAGTTGGATCACACAATCACCAGAACCCATGAAATTATCTTAAACAACCACATCCTCTTGTAACCATCCCTAAGCTAAGAAACGACGACGACGTTTGGTCCCCACTGGCACCTTTGCTTCTATTCTTCGTTCAGTTTTTACTAGAGATAGGCCAATTCACCCCAGGGGGAGTCATTATCTCCCCAGAAAGTAACAAATTCATCTGTGCAGATAGAAGAATTCTCCTTTGAGGTCTGCTTCTGTTTATTTTTGCATGTGCAACAATTAAATGGCCTCCTGGGAGCTACAGTTTGGAATCGCGCAAGGCCTCATGATCTCATGTCTCCGCCTGTTCTGTGCTCACTGCTTAACTGACTGTTTCCATGTGGCCACTCTATGTAATGCTTACTTGCTGTCATCAACAGCCACGTATGGGAGGGAGTGATGGATTGCTCGCCAACGGATTGCCCACAGGGAGAGATCTGCAACCTACATGCCCATTTCTTCATATAGGACTGGGTTGTCGAAAGACTTCAGATGCCACCCATTCCCTCCAGGGTCCGCAAGGCACTGTTACGTTTTCTCCTCAAAGAAAAGGGTTAAACCAGCCAACACAGCCGATATGCAGAAATGTTTGGTTTAGATGCAGCCTGCAACATGTTCCAAAACTTGCAATCTGCTTGGGAATTAGTAAATACTTCACAATATAGCGATCCAAGCTCACTACCAAGGTGAGCCTTGTGAAGGGAAGAGTTTTGCCTAATGAGTGAGCTAATTACATCAGGCTTGTTAGCTTTGTCTCCCGTTTTCCACCTCTTCCTAAGTTACCTCTCATGCAGCTGAAATTTAGACTGCCTGTGTTTCTTGGGTCCAAGGGATGCCTTTTGCATACCATAGTAAAACACAGTATTTCTCAACGGAACTGCAATATTCATCATTACGGATTCCTTTGCTAACTTGAACTGAGTATGCTGTTTCACTGTCTGAAGAAACATTCAGCCTCATGGATCCCTCAGGGATACAGCAGGAAGTGCCAATCCCTCCTCCCAGAAAATTCTATCAGAACATGGGATGGAGGATGCACAGCTGAATGCGTGCAGCACACATTTGTGTGGGTCTCAGCCCCGCATCCAGCGCCACAGGAGGCCATCCCTGACTCACGTGCTCCATCAAGCACAATTGTAAGATGGGTTTGGGCTTCCTTCCTGCTCCGCTCTTCTTTGGCTAGCACAGGGTACTGTATTTCCTTGCAGTCTGGTCTCCGGAGAACAGAGGAATCATTCACGTAGAGGCTTCCGTACTTGTCTTCCTGGCCCTGCGCGATCTCCAGCGCATAGCAGCTGACATTTGGGGAAAGCAAGCTGTACGTGATGTTGACACCATGAAACCTCATGCAGTTATCAATGCAGATTCTTCCTATCTGGTCTCAACAAGAGAGAGAGAGAGAGAGAGAGAGAGAGAGAGGAGGAAGAAGAAAAAGTGAAAGTGAAAGCCAGACGAGACAGTCATCAATGACATCAAACAGTGAAGGCACACCAGGAGCGTCACTCCAACAGTCCGCTTGCAAACATATTATGGCGATTCACATCATAGACAAGCAAAATAGGATCCAGGCTGCTGGTCTTCTCTTCACACCATTTCATGCAAGTCGTGTGACCTGCTAATTCCTAAGGAGCTGCAAAATGCTTTGCTGACCAATCAAACACATTTAAAATGTTATTTCCTTGCCGCAATCTCTACCCTATATAGCAATACAAATTATCCACCCAGAAAAATCTCTAAACAATAAGTTACAGCAACATTCTCTCATTAAACTGTCTCATATAATATAATCTCAGAACGAGTATGGCTCTTTGAAGTCATTAAGAAAGTGAATCCTATTTTTCGAACACTGGGACAGCGAGGCCTTGAACTTGCGGGTTCATTCAATCCTTTAGCTGTCAAACTAGAGAAACAACATCAGCTCAGAGGTTAATTGCTTCCTCACACTCTTGTATTTTCTTCAGGGCAAATGATATTAAGCCTTCCCATTTGTTCCCTTCCTGCATTTCTCCCAGGGCTGGCTAATTATTTCAAATTAGGCTTAATGCTTCAGGACTGAGGAGTGTCAGATCCTACAGACTGAGATGCCTGAATCACATTCTTTGCTACAAATTAGGTACGTGGATCCCAATCTAGGAGAAGACTGTGGCCCCAATTCCTGTACTCATAATGGAAGGTACAATCCTTCAATGGTGCAGGAATGACCTCACCTCCTTCCTCGCCTCTTGCTGGGAAAAGAATGAGGCAAGCCAGACCTCCATGTGATCAGACACTGGCCTGGAAAATACAGCTTATGGGAAGTGTTATTTGCATAGTGGACCAGCAATAAGGGCCTGAACTGAGGTTTTATTGGACTGTTTGACCCAGAAGGAGATTGCCGATGGACAGCAGCACTGTCATCTTCCTTGCTATTGCCAAGTCAGTATAAAGACTGGAGGCATGTGAGCCTGGAACTGAGTTGATAAAGCCAACGAACATGTGACTGAATTAAGGGTAGGCAAAGGAGAGATGCTGAAGAATGCCTGGATTTTCCAAACATCTTGTTGCTTGTCTCCTGCCCATTTCCCACTCGGACTTGCAATCGCTGCTCACTCCACATGAATGAGAAACTATCCATGGTCATAGTGGAACCATGAAAACAGATTCCCCCATTTGGGGTAACTTCCCTTCATAAACTAAAGAGGGCCTATTTCAAGCCTTGAAAAAGCTCTCTGTTCTCTAAAGTGAAGCACAATCATCACAGAATGAGTTTGTGAGCACACGCAGAACAGTTGGTTGAACCCGATTTGGCAATTACTCCGGGAACCCTCTTTTGGAGTGCCTCTACCCCCTTTGGAAGCAGGCAAGTCTTTTCTTCCTGGCATCCCTCTAGCTGCCTGGCCCTTCTCTCCTGATGCTGGGCCATGGGATCAAGAGTCCTACCAGGCTCGGCTGGCCACGGGCGTTCCTGCCCCATGCCCCTTCCCAGCAGCTGCAGCTCCTGGCTATTCTCAGAGTCACGTGGAAAGGGCAACCCTCTGCATCTCCCATCTCAAAGTTAGGGGGGCGCCTGTTTCCAGACCCCTCCTCCTGATCATCTGACAAATCCAGAATTGCCCGACCTTGGAATGTACATCAAGAACAACTGTCCCTTTCATTCCCAACATGCAAAGGCTGCAGAGTAATTCCAGAAAATGTAAATCCACATGTGGCTGTACTGCTTTGATGTGTCTTTAATGTCCTATTCATACCTTCCGGCTCAGATGAAAGACGATACACCTGTACGTGGGAGACTACAAATTATGGCTGGACAGGGTAGTGAAGCATTGCTTTCTACTAGCCAACTATGAAATCCAGTCCCACCATGACAATGCAATAGAAGATGGCTTTATCGATACAGGTATTGTTTGGTGAACTTATGAAACTTGGGCTTTATGTAGTTAAAAGGCACATTTCAACAACTCTTTGCAATAGGTTAGTCTGAGTATCTTTGACTGGCCCAAAGTCACCCAGGAAGCTTCATGGACAAGCGGGAACTAGAATCCAGATGTTTAAGGTCCTCAGTCCAACACTTTAACCCTACACTGGCTTTCTGTGATGTTAGTCAGAGGTCACTTGGAAAAACAATGAAACGAAACGAACCGAAACGAAATGAAACGAAACGAAACTTTTTTTCTTGTGTTTTAAAGTAAGCATTACTTTAGGTTTGGCACCCCCCACAAAACATTGATATTCCAACTATACAGATGCAGGCTGAAACACTTTTCAGATTAATCCTTTCAGAGGAAATGATTGGTGAAATTATACCTAAATTCTCTTGAATGCCAAACTGCACAGCAGTCACAACTTTTACAACACAATTTTAAAAGACATCGAACTGATCTCTCACATCTCACTTTATTGTTTTGATAGAGAACAGAAATCCAGTGCATACAAAAATAATTTCATGTCCACTGGAGTTAAAGTAAAATATGCTAAAACAGAAGATTATTGAGTGTACCTCACCTATACGGGAATACAACTCCCAGAGTCTCTGATCATTAGCAATCTGGGCTATTGCTGACTGCACGGTGGGGCGAGACATCTGCAGGGCTACCCATGCACTCTGGCCCAAAATTGATGTGCGCTGTTTAGCATCCATGAGGAAGAACTATCACTCAGGAAATCTGTAGGGTCTGTCCTGCAGTTATTATGTCATGTGTATTGTTTAAACTTGATTTTTTCCCATCCAATTCAAATGCCATTTTCAGGCCTCCTGCTCTCCCATCAAGAGATCAGCTCTGCTAAAATCCACACAGATAGCGAAAAATGGCCACATCTTACAGGTTATTCAGAAAGGAAGGCACCTTCAGCCTAACTGCAAGCATAATCAGCTTTGGAAATAGAATTAATAGCTTCAAGAGTGTGTAGCTGCACACACACAACAGTGAAATACATGGGCCGTGGGGTGCCATGTGCTCACTTACTCAAACACAAACTTATTTGCATAGGCTATAAATGTTCATGATTGAGGAAAATGCCAGGCACAGAGACTGACTCACAGAGTCCGAGCTATGAGTTAGTCTCTCTCTCTCTCTCAATGAAAAACTGCAAATAACTTTACCAGGTGGAACTGGGCCCTGTTTCCCCTTCACAGAGGCCATTAAAATCAAAGTTATGAATATCTGGGGGTTATCCAGCTATATGTATGTTGTCCTGCATGTGAATATAAATGGATAACCAACTCTAAAAAGCTTCGTTTCTCAAAGCAGAACAAACGACTAAGACCTCCTTACTTGCGAGAAATTGGCAGCGTTTCTGTTCACTGTGAACTGGTATGTCACATTTGAAAACCGGATGCTGATGGGGAGAATGGAAACGTTGAAGTGGAGCACCAGAGTTTTGTCTGGGCCCTGGTACTCTGTGTCGTTCACGATAACCTTCAGCGGGAAGGAGCGGCTTTCCGTGACTGAGATGCTCTTGTTCAACACCAGCTCTGCAAGAAACAGAAGCCCAGACTCACTTTACAATGAAGAAGACTCCCATGCGAGACCGCCTTGGGAAAGGCAAAGAAGTGACCAGGAGAGACACCCAGTGGACAAAGGAAGGACCGCAAACAGCTGGTGTGAAAGAGTACACTGAGAGGAGAGGTAGCTAGAGGGGAAACCTTGGCGCGAATCTGTTCCATAAGCCAATATTACCACTGGGAAGGAACATCTGGAGAAATAGCAAGAGCTGTTTTGCTCGGGCAAGTTAGAGCCCAACCTCTCACTGAAATAGGACAAGAACAAGTTTCTGCTGCCATGTCGCCTTTATCCACCCTCCATCCTTGGATTTTTGTAGTCAGGTCCCAAAGAATGGCATGATGTTTCTACTGCAACATTGGAAATTACTACAATATGGATTGTGCCTTAAGTTGAACAATCAATCTTCTACTGTATAGGAAGAGGAGATACAGCTGCATATACAACGAACTACTAGAAATACTTAAGTTTATTGATACATTACTGTGTTTTTGTACTGATATTGATATACTGCTTATGGATATTCTATTGACTGGAATGTTATTTGTATGTTGCTAGTTATATGCTATTATTAGGATGCTGTGTTTTATTCTATTTTGTCTTATTGTTAAACTGTCCCGAGACCATGGTAAGGGATGGTCTAAAAAGTTTTAAACAAACAAACATTATTTTGGTGGCATGTGTACATTTATTTTTTGTGTGCTGCACAAAATGTAACTTGCTTGTGAAAACACAGGGTAATCATATTACATAAAAAAGGAAAGAAAAGTAATTACTACAACATTATCTGTGTAGCACTGGCCACCTCTGTCGTACAACTCTTGGAACATCTGAAAGAGGTCAGGAGACAGAGTACTCGGAGGAGAGCATTCTCTGCAGTGGCTCCCCGACTATGGAATGCGCTCCCTAGAGAGGTCTGCCTGGCACCATCATTATATGGTGCCATCTCCATCAGCTTCACTGGCTCCCCATTGAAGTCCGGGCCCAATTCAAGGTGTTGGTTATCACCTATAAAGCCCTCAACGGCTTGGGACCTGGTTATCTAAAGGAGCGCTTGCATCCATATATGCCCCCCACCTCCTGAGATCGGCGGGGGAGGCCCTTCTCCGGGAGCCCTCTGTGAGGGATATTAGGAGGGTAAGTACCCAGGGGAGGGCCTTCTCTGCGATGGCGCCCCACCTATGGAATGCGCTCCCCAGAGAGGTCCGCCTGGCGCAGTCGTTACTTGTTTTTCAGCACCAGGCCAAGACCTTTTTATTTAAACGGTATTTTAATGGTTAATCAGTGTTTTATTTAATGGTTTTATATTATCACCGAGAACTCCAAATTTTTAATATTGTTCTATGCTTTGTTTTCCTTGTGAGCCGCCTCAAGGCTTTGGCGATGGGTGCGGCATAGAAATGCTATAAATAAATAAATAAATAAATAAATAAATAAATAAATGTTTTTTGGCACCAGATCAAGACTTTTTTATTTGACCAATATTTTAACATTGAGTAATTTTAATTGTATTAGATTTATTTAATTTATTTTAAATAGGTTAGTTGTGGAATAGTTAATTTATTTTATTTAGGATTTGGAATAATGTTGTAAACCATCCAGAGACAACAGTGATGGACGGCCTACAAATTTTCTAAATAAATAAATAATATGATCTATTATCTTCTCCAATGAAGAATACAAATGATGGATGAGGCAGTTCAATGTAGCATCTACTACCTATAAACAAATTAGTTTTCACTTGGAAATATGGATACAAGCAAACTTACTATATTCGTGTCGTGTTCCCCTCACTTGGCTACCATTTGGAATGAAATAGATCTCATGGAAGTTGTGCTCCACTCGAAATGTTTCCTTTATCCATGGATCGGATGAATCTATGGTGCCAGTATACTTTTTTCTGCTACTCTCTACAGGGAAAATGGGAGTGGTGTCTGCATCATAGACCATCACTGTTGCTAGGACGGTGCCCTTTAAAAGAGAATGAAGGAGAGAATTGCTTGCAGTCACAATGCACATTTCCAGCGTGGCACTTAACCACTGCCCTAGGATGAGAATTTGATCAAGGACAGTTTGGTGTAGAGCAGAGTTGCAATCTTGAGTTTTCCAAGAAGGCAGTGACAGGATGAAATCCTCTGAAACGTCTGCTATGCGTTGCTTCACCACGTTTGCCCTTCTCAAGCTGAGGACACTTGTGAGAAAAACGTTCAAGTATAATGAACTGTGGACTGCATGAGTTAACTGTTCATTAGATTTCTCCATCACCTTATAGCTTGGCCTCCATGGAGGGAGGAGTTGGACTCGATGGCTTTCTTGGCCCCTTCCAACTCTACTATTCCATGAACCCCTGGATCTAAGCTGGGCAGCCAAGCATCTTTCACTCATCATGACTCCCAGAATCTCTCAGCAGCCACATTGGATAGGGAACGCTGGGACATTTTACTTTACTTTATTATTTTATCTTTGGCCTAAAAAGAATCCTTCTGTGCCTTAAGTCGGTAAGAGAAACTACCTGATGCATCACGGTGCCTGACCAGGAAATCCAAAAGACTCCCCACCATGACGGCAAAAATATAATAGAACTAAGTCACTGCCCCTGTTAATCTGTTGCCCTGTTAATGTTAACCCAAACTACACTCTCTGAGACAGGGCAGCCTCACCCTGCCTAATAGTGAGGTTGATTATGCCCAGAAGCATGACAGGAATGGACTTTTCTGAGCTCTGCAGAACGTCATGGCCTCCTGGCTCCAGTAACACCAAACGAGCTGCAGTGAAGAATGTCAGAGGCACAGTGCTGAGCCTGACCAAAGACCGGGACTCTGTTCTCGTAGTGGCCAGTTGAACGCTTCTGGGAAGCCCAGAAATGGAAGCTCATTGCAACAGCAGCCTCCTGCCTGTGCTTCTAGCACCTGGAACACTGGCACAAGCTGCTGATACTGGACTAGAAGTGATGGACAGCCATTCACACCCAATGCTTCAAATCTGAGTTGGACCAGTTTTGGCAGTGGGGAACCCCACGTATATATTTTCCTCTCCTGCCCATTTTCCGCCCCACAGCCCTCCATGTCTTTTAGGTAAATAAAAATCCAAACTCTGGTATTCCCGGGTAGCTAACCTAGAAAAAGCACTTCTCGCTGGGGCTGTTCAAACAGGAGCATCTCTGGATTTGTATGAATAGAGGCACATGGTCCTCTTTAGCATGCAGCAGCAAGGAAATGTGTAGAGCAGCTTCCCCGGCATCGCAAGGGATTCCTGCCAAATGTTCCAGCCAGCCAGCCAGCCGTGTCTGCTCCAGGACTGTAAAAGCTGTCAAAAGCTCCACCAGGCCAACTAGCTCCCCCCGTTTCCAGTTTTGTTTTCTTTTCCAATTAACACTCAACAATCCAAGACTCCTGGAAGTGTGCTCAGTGCCCCATCAAGAGCTTTTGCAGCAGGGATGTGTTGAGAACATCTTGCGCTTCTGCCTATGCTGACGCCTCCGTCTCATTCCTTGACGGTTTGGTTTCAGCTTCACTGCTCCTGGCCCTCAACCACCCAAGTTTGTTATTAGAGGGAAAGACATCATACTTCTGTTTTACAGAGTGAATAGAAACTGAGTCAACGTATTTCACTGTCAGCTTTGTATACAGCTCAGTGACTGCGCTCTGAAAGGATGTACTTTATACATGGAGGACCAAAGCACAAAGATGATCCTGGCCTGGTGGTGGCAGCAAACCTTCAAAAATAGTAAACTCTTCTGCAAAATCTAGCTCCCAGAGATGTGACTCGTTTGGCAAAGAAACATACCTACCGTTTAAAACTTTGTTAAAATAAATTGTCTGTGTCGTGATAGATCCCTTGGACATTTGTATCATAAATTTGATGGGGGATTAAAGAGAGCTCCTATGTAAACATGCTTGGAAAGGGCTCTTGTCTCTCTGTGCAGTCTTCTAAAGGCAAGTGTTAGGAAACGCAGGCTCCAAACATGATTCTGTGGCAGCCCGAACATGTCATCGCTCCTTCGTGCTGACGACAGAGGACAATTTTTTACAGCACTGGATGTCCAGAGCCGATGTGGCATCATGGCTAAACACTGAGCCACTGCCCCGATCCTGCTTCTGCCACAACATCCTCACTGACCTTACACAAATTGCTCTCTCCAGGCAGCTCGTTCAGCCTCTGCTCACCATCTGCTAGATGGGAATAACGCTGCTGACCCACTGTGCAAGGTTGCTGCAAGGACTGCAGCACAGCCATGTATGTGAATTGCTCTGAACACTTTCTGGCCTTCAAGCAATCATGAAGAGTACCACGTTCTGGATACCTTTAGACTGCTGGTGGATGCAGGCAATAAACAGATGGTTGCACAGTACATTTTCCTTAACAACTGGCCATCCTCCTTAACAATTATAACCAGTATCAATTGGGTGCAACTTATAAACACTTTCACGGTATTTCCCCATGAATGCTCCCAAGAGCTTAGACTTTGGTGGACACTTTTTACTATAAGGAACCTAATTTTAGGGTACTTTTTCCACACTGATGTTTCCCAAGAAACCTTTGTGCATCTCCTGTGAAACTTGTGCATATCCTAGAATGCACAACATTTAGAAGGTTTTAGAATGCAGCACTCAGATCACTTCTGCCTAGGCATCCTGGGCCTCAACACAAAGGCTGCAACTCCATGCATATGACCTAGAATAAACCCTGTTGAATATAGCGAGAGTAACTTCTTAGTAAGCATGTGCCAAAATGCACTGTGAGAGAGGGGCTGAGGACACAGTAAATGCTGCAGGATGTGGCTGTGGGAGTCAGTAGTAAGTTATTTTTCAGGAAAGCCAATCCATTGTTATTGAGTTCTAACTGGGGAATCTCCGAGAAGTTTCCAAGGAACCAACGAGTCCCTAAGAACGCTGTTTAAAAGCCTCCATTGCCATTTCCATGCCTAAGGGAGCTGCTTCCTTACATCAGCTTCTTTGCCTGTGGTCACTGAAATCAACTCTGGGGGAAACAAATGGATAATCCCAAGCAACACAATGGTTTCTTCGAAGAGCAGCAGTAGCATGTAAGTGCTACCGGTCATACGCTACCTCCGGTATCAGGCGCAGGATGCCCACGTAGACCGGTTGTGGGAGAACACGGTGGAAGTGTGGCTGCATTCAGGTCCTGCTGGCGCATTTCCCACGGGCAGCTGGGTTGGCCACTGTGTGCACAGAGTGCTCGATCAGATGACCTTGGCCGGTCCAGCATGGCTCCTCTTAGCCAGCCTCACACCAAGCCTTTGTGCGGGCATCTAGCCAGAAGCAGGATCAGGCATTCTGCTTCCACACACACGACTTGTGGGCTGCGTGTGTTTTGCACAAAGCATTGTGTAGCTTGTGTATTCTGCACAAAGAGGCTGCTAGTGTCCCCGAGCAATTGTGGGTTTGATCTGCCGTGGAAGCGGAATTCCGCCTGAACTCGCTTCCAGCAAGATGCCCACACAAAGGCTTGGTGTGAGGCTGAAGTAGGGGAGAAAGAGGGCTAGAGTCCAGGGAACCAAACTAAGGAACTCCAGTGGATTCCCTCTGCCAAGCCAGGTTCTTCACACATCTGTAATCGGGGGATTTTTGCCCATTCTCTGCCTGCCCTGGCTCTGCATCACAATGTGTTCCAATACCGCACTGCTCCCTCATGGACTGTTACCTCTTTTCTACTGAATTCCACGACAGCATCTGTTGAGCTGGTACCATTCGGTAAGAAGGGGGGCATATCATCTTCATCAAATATATTTACAAATAAGGGCACCTCCCTGGATGTCTCCACGGAGCCTTCTCTGACCGTGCACTTTGCAATCAGCTCATACTTCTCTCTTTCTTCCCGATCCAGAGACTGCGTCACTCCAATACTTGTGGTATCTTTGTTGTAATAAAATGGCAGACCTTCATCTAGAACACAACAGAAAGACCATCTATTTCTCCTTACTCCATTAACAAATCAAGCTGGACCAGAGAGTCAGGAAGAGGTGAAACATCCCACTCAGATCTGAGATGGTTATGATTACACTGCATTTATATCCCACTTTCTCTCTTCTTGTGAGCAACTCAGATGTGCATGATGAGATTCAGATATCACTCATGCCTGAAACAACAGCCCCAGGAGTAGTATCCTGCCTCTGCAGTCTCTTCTACTTCCTCCAGAGTGACTCTTTCCTTCTCCCCAGTTGCTATTTACCGCCTCCGAAGGCAAGCGGCACGGTTCTTTCTGGGAGGGAACAGATTTCTAACCCCCGAAGTCCCATATCTAGCCTTCTAGTCCTGCTGGATGGGTGCACAGGGCTCAGAGGACTGGAATTTGTATTTGTAGCACCAAATGACTTGGAACCAGGTTACCCGGAAGATCATCGTCTCCCCACCTCTTGATACGTTAGACCCCTCCGATCCTCAGAGCACGTCTTACTCTCTCTGAGTCACAACTAGGGGAGACCATCCTCTAGCAATGCAGTAGATCTCATTGCCTCGATCTATTAAATCCTGACTTGCTTTACTTTGGTTCTCCCCAGCCAACCGTGAGGCCAAATGATGCATCCTTTAATAACGTGGTCCAGAATGTTCAAAATGGGAAGCGGGAAGAAGGCCTTTTTTTCAGTCTAAACATGCATGCGATTGTGCTGGAAGCACTGTGAGGGCAGCATGGTCTGAAAGGCAGGTGACGTTTCTTAAAGACACTGGCCCACAACGTAGCATTAAAATGGGAGCATGCTAAATTAAACATACTGGCATTTAGGAGCGGAAAAGCAGTCATTTCAAAAGGCTTCTGAAGTGCATATTTTGACCTTGGAAGCCTTTCGCAGCCAAGAAATAGGATTTCTTCAAACATATTTTCCCATATATATCTGCCCCAACACTAACATCAGCCTTGGAGGCCTGGGCTTATATTCTCTTTCTCGTCAAAAATACAGCAGTTGGGAAAGAGAAACGGATTTTTTTCCTGCTTCCAGGCAGGCCTTTGCTGAGCTATTAGTGGATAGCATAAGTGTGGTGCTTGGGTTGTAAGGTCTGTTGCTTCTTTTCTGTTCAATTAATTCATAGCTACTGTTTTTAATGTTTTGATGTTTTGTTTTATGCATGCTAATGATGTTTTCATGTTTTTAAGAGATGATCTTGTTATGCATTCTGGATGTTTTTGAGTAAAGGGGGGTGGGGGTGGGCAGGGTTCTGTGTCCCTATATCCAATCAGGCACTTTTCACTTGCAATCTGCTGAATGGGAAAGAGAAAACCTTGGGGTGGAAGTGAAAGCTGTGATGAAAGTTATAGTGTAGGAAATGAGCTAGGGAAATGGGAAGAAGTTTTGTTAAGTGTTCATTCTAAAACAAAACAAAACCGAGGGAAATCTAAACAATCATGCTGCAGCAGTTTTGAAAACCATTTCCGTGCTTTCCCAGCTGGTGTTAAAACGAAACAAGATATTCATCAGTGCTTACTGAAGACTGCAGAAGGGAAGATGTCCAAAATGTTGGTTTCACTTAGGAGTTTGAACCGGGTCAGTAATCGGGTTGGTACTCTGGAGGGAAACAGCCAGCAGCTAAGCCGGCTCACGCACTGGGATGCACCCCGTCTGCCAACCAGCAAGTAGCTGCATATGCAAAGTCAGGCTGTCTCAATGTTGTTCTGTTTGTGGCTGAGCAACAAGTTACACAAACTGTGAAAGGGACCAAATGGGAAGCATTCTATGTTCAGACAGAAACCATCTGGCCTCCCCAGAGCTGTTAGCTGCAATGCAACCCTCCAACCTCTTGTGCCAGTGGATGGCAATAGAACGAGAGTTTTGAATGGCTCCAAGCCGTGTTTGGAAACACCAGTCTTCCGATACTCATTCAGAGGTGTGTTGCATGTGTCTCTGCATGCACAATTTTTGGAAATGTATTCTAAACCTGTGCTGACAACTCAGCAAAACAGGGGTGGGCAACCTCAGCAGGTCAGAGAGGAATTTTTATGCCCCTCTCAGTTTCTTAAATAAAGATTCTTCAAATGGCATCTGGAGAGGCTGTGGGCAGCCAAATGCAGTGCTGTGCTTAGCTAGGGAGTGCTGAAAAGGTCAAAATGACCATTCCAAATGGTTTTAATTATAGATCTTTATCTGCTGATATCAATATTAGCTGCTAAATGTAGCCCAGCCCAGCAATGAAAGAAAGATCGGTATATAGGAATGAGCCAACAGGATAATCTGTTGCTTTACCTGCTATCAGGTGGTAGGAAACGCTTGCATTAGGGCACGGGTAGGACAGCGAGAATGACTGGAGCTGATGAAATATTCCTGGTGGTTTGTTCTCCTTGACATGAAACGAGAGATCCATATCGGCGAAACACAGCTGGCTAACCTTTGCTGAACTGCAAGCCGTTGCGGTTGTGTTGATGATGGAGATCTTCACCATGGCTTTGGGCTCTGAATCTTGGCATTTTTTCTCTCGGACAGGCTGGGTCGAGAGGATCACCTGGAGGGTGAGCTTTGGCAGAGAAACCCCACTCCCTGCAACTATTGGAAAAGGGGCAAATATTACAGGTAACATACAAGTTCTCATTTCAGCAATTCGCTACCATACATTATTCCATCCAGCTAGGCACACCCGGTCATTTCCTATGATTCCTTATAAAATGTCCTCCTGCTCCATTTTCTATGCATTCCATTTAATGTCATTTTTATTACCCAAAAGGTAAGAGTGCACAGAGACACAATTTCACTAATCTGCTGGCCACTCGTTAAAGGTAGTTGCTTAAAATCCAGTTTCTGACTGATAGTGTTTAGCTAAATTTAACATGACTAGGTCAGTTTGAAAATGAGGCTCCAATTCTGGGGGTGAAGCTCTCACCCAGAACTCCCAGTTGGAGCCCCCCATTGAGTAAATGACAATAGCAGTTCCCAGTGAAGCCTTGCCGTGTGAGTTTCCTTTGCCAACAACATTTATTTATTTATATTTATATCCTGCCATTTTTCTTTCCAAGGAACTCAATCTGACTTGCATCATTCTCTTCCTGCTGCTCTCAGTCTTATCCCCACCACCACAACAGCTCTGTGGGCTGAGAGTTTGAGACTGGTCTGAAGTCACCCTGTGAACTCCATCGCTGAGTGGGGACTAGAATTCACCCAAACTCACACATAGGTGGTTTAAGCCATGGGCCATTACAGATTTACAGAGCCATAGGATACAATTTAACAATGGAGAACTTTAAAACTGATCTAACAAGTTAGTTAAAACTAGAATAGTTGAAAAGGGATAAAAAGTAAAATGGACTGGTCATACATCAAGAAACTAACTCTTCCAAAACCTCCCTAGAGCTTATCTGCTTAGCTTCAAAGGCAAAGAGAGAGACTCTGTATGCATGTATGCATCAAAGTCTGATAACAGGAATATTTTTTTCTCAGAATCAGACCATGCATCTATAGCAGATAAAATACTGGTCAAAAATTTCTCTCTTGTCTCTCTCTATAGAGAACAGTAGATAATGTAATGAGGAAGGGTCTCCACTTAGAGGCATCCACAGTTACAGACATGATGCTTCACTGGAATTTGAGAATTTTGACCAAACGAGAGAGCTGCATGCTCGGTTTGCAAGTGCAGGGCCATAAAAGCCACCCTAAGGATGTAATTAGAGGTGTTGACTACATAGTTAGGTCTAAGATGATTGTGCTTAAAAAATTTATACAAGGGGCTACTTTGGAATTTAAAATTGATGACCTATCAATTAGGGCATCTGAATAGTAGATCCAGTCCCTGAGGTGAGAGCCATCAGCTGGAGCCCCTACAAGACCATCAGGGATAGGGTATCTATGGAGGATGGAGTTAAAACAAAAAATAAAAACAGAAAGTTTTGAATCTTTTGATGATAACAGATTGAATGATTTGTGACCTAAAGAATTGGGTCAAGAGGAGATGTTTCTATTCCAATATTTTATAACTGTTAGGTGCCCACAAGCCCTAAGAGAGGGGAGCCGATGACGTTTCTTGTTCAAGGCAACCTTGAAAGTAACTCCCAGGCATTTAAAGGAACAACATTGTTTAAAGGGGTTACCAAGGATGCTCAACGATGAAACTCTAGGCTTTTCCCTAAAAGCCATAGCTTCACTCTTCGTATAATTTATAACAACATCTTCTTCCTTGCAGCATCGCCCTCGTCACTGTAAGAGCCTTCTTAGGCCAATTTTAGTTTGAGAAAGCAGGACCTTATCATAAGCATATAACAAAACAGAAGTTTTCTGTTGACCCAATGATGGAGCTTTAAATTGTGGTCCTGATGAACTTTCTACAAAATTGCTTATATATAAATTAAATAATAAGGGGGCCAACACGCACCCTTGCTTCCGAGACTAGAATCCAGATCCCCCGAGTTCCAGTCCTGTACTCTTCACCACTGTACCACAGCGGCTCTCAACATTTAAGCATAACACTGAAGCAAAGCAAAGCAAAGATACTTTCTGTTCTACCTGGATGGAGCTTCTCTGAGGATTCCAGTCCCCAGGCAACTCCAGCAAGCAAACAAGAACGCGCAACTAGCGCTGGTGGTCCAGTGGGGAAGAAGAGCTCCAATGAATACCCAAGGGTCAGGCAATCCCACTTGCTCGAGTATGCCAGCGTTGCAAAGCAAGGCGACGGAAGGCCCTGTCACAGTGACTTTCTTCTTCCTTCATGTTCATACATTAATCTGGTGCAAATTTTCTACTGCATGCCAAGCTAGAACCCTTATCCAGACAGAATAATCCTACTACAAATACGTTTCTTTAAATGACATTACAATTCAATCCTATATATTTACTCAAAAGTAAGGCCCATGGCGTTCAGTGGGCTTCAATCCTGGGTAAGTAGGCATTCAACTGTAGCTTTATATTGGTATACGCTTCTATAGCCCTCACTTTGAGGGGACCCATGCCCAAAGCATTAGTTTCTGGCGTGCCGACAGAGTATTATTTTTGCTGTATTACTAATCTGCAATGAGGAGCTCCTAGACTCTCCATCACTCACTGAAAAAAAGCTGCATTAGTTTAATAAGACTCTGCAGCTAGATCAAAGCCACTCAATGAATCAACATCAAATATCACTTATACCACTCCAGGAGGGCTTCATCCACTTGACTTACACAGGGTATCAAAGTCTTCTCTATCCAGACTTTTATTCAGAATAAGAAGTCCTGTTTTCTCTCCAATTTGAAACCAAAGGTTGTCCTTGGCTCCCACTCGCAGGATGTGGAAGTGGGGGCACAGCCAAAAATAGATCTCTTCCTCTTCGGAATCTTTCAACGCATGGATCTGCACTACAGGGGATCCCCCTGGCTGTTCAAGGTAGACATTCTCATGGTATTCTTTCTTGGGGAAGTAGAGGCCAAAAGCAACTGCAAAGGAAACAAAAATTAAGGTTACAGGATGTATGGCTCCTGGATGGACATCCCAAACATGCATTTAGAAAAGGTCTCCTTTCTATAATTAATGGCGGGATGCATTCCAAGGGCTGGTTCCTTGATTTATGCAGCTGGAACAGGTCTGCAGGTATCACTTAAGCTTAAACTGAGATTTACATCCTGCTTTTTTCTTCTAACAAACTCAAAGTGGTTTATATCATTCTGCTCCTCTTGCTCTCAATTTATCCCCACAACAACAACCCTGTGAGGTAGATTGGGCCGAGAGTCTGCGACGGGCCCAAAGTCACCCAGTTGGCTGAGTGAGGACTAGACCCTGGATCGCCTGAGTCCTAGTCCTGCGCTCTTAACCACATTTTTGTGTATTTCAATAAAAATGAATGCTAGGCAAACTGCATGTGCAATTGAACCTTGCTTTGCACACACACACACACGGATGGGGGAAAAACAAGGTAGCTGCTCGTTCGTGGTGAACCCCTTCCCCTTTGGGATGAACACCACATTTATCCAGACCAAAATGCCATTTTCATATTAGACTTTTCCCAGCTGCCACTCTTCTTCCAGTGGCGAAAGCATGAGCCCACGCTGCATCCAACTGGCACGCAACTTTTATGAAGCATCTTACACCATGGAATTGATTTAACAGTAATTTGAAGCTCTTATACAATAATGATGTGCAGAAAAGGTCACAATGTTTGTTGATCAAGTCTATGGTGAAAGCGATCATCAGCCCTACGCGGTGGGTATAGCTGGTTCATTGTCTATTCGCTCAGTATTGTTTTTATTTCTCTGCCTGATACTAAGCGCTTTATTTAATCACAGCATAACCAGAACCCTTTTCCTACAGCCTCACTCTCAGCAGGTGGCTCCAAAGTGTGGCCCCCGACTCCCTTTCCACAGGCAGCTTTCTCTACCTTGCTCCCTTGCACAGAAATCTGACCCCAGCTAAACCTCTGAACCAAAGGACCTTGTTAACCCAGGCCTGCAGCGTCGAAAACAGGGAGTAAGGGAAGCCTTTGTTTTATGCAACTGCTCCAAATAATGTTGTGGCTCAGAAGGGGTCCAGGAACAGGGACATACAAAGCACAATTACCTGGACTTCCAGAAGCTTTGCTGCTCCATAGGAAGAAAATTAACCAAAATCTTCCACAACTCGGTGGTGGAGTGGCTGGATCCAGCCGGGGTGCACCGTCACAGCAAAGCCACTGACCTGATTCACCACCACTGCAACCGAGCTCTGCGTACGTGTGATGAGATGGAGGAGACATCCTGCCAAAATGCTGCACTATGCAGCACTTCTAGGTAAGGCAGTGCCCAGACTTCATCCCACCTGAATAAGGATCTCTAGGTTCCACAGGGACTATGGGCAGCCCCCTATATTCCCTACCCTCCGCAGTCCCCCTCAGCCACTGCATTGCCTCGTGTGGTACTGAAACTGCCATGCTGGTTTGAGGAACTTTATACCACGCTGCTGTGCCTTGGTAGCTCCCACAACCCTCTCTAATTGGCCACTTTCTTGAAAGAAGCTTTCTTTCAACCATTCTTGTCTGCAACACATGTTATGTATCAGGGCAATCAAATGCCATTTCTTTCAGGACCATCCGTAGCTTCTCATGATCCCTGCAGACCAAGCCTTTGCTTTAGAAAGCCAAGGCGGGTGTTGTTCTGAAATTCCCTGATGTGCTCCAATAGCCAATATATATCTGTGACATGCTCCCAACTGCCTCTTTCCAGGATCCTGCTTGAATGTAAGGCATTTCTCACTCCATATACAATACAATTATTTGTTGCAACACCTTGAACATCCCTTTGCTTGCATGGGGAATAAGTGCAATGGTCCAATAGTTATGGCGCTGTTTTCCATCTCCTTGGGGACAGGAATCTCTACCGGATCTTTCCAGTCTCTGGGCCATTGCGTTGTTTTCCGTATTTGTTGGCACATTCACCCCTGTGGTGCTCTGCACAAGATGCCTGTAATCCTCTGGGTTTGGAGGGTTCCAGGCATCCCAAAAGGATTGAGACCTTTGTTCTTGTTGGGCGCGTACAATCAAGCAAAGGAAAAGATCCAGTGGAATACTTGGGATTTAAGACTTGTATGCTTGTGTGCAAACATTACATAATCCTCCTGAAATATGGCTGCGATTCATGACATCACCTGACCTTATGATGAATGATAATGGCATGATTAACAGCTGCTTGTGTAATTTGTTCTACATGTATTGTACATTACCCTCACAATCTCGTGGAGCAATAAAGGAGATGAACGTTTACTAATAACTTCTCATTGAACCGCCATAGCTTTATATCTTACTTAAGGAGCAAAATGAAAACTAACAGCTCCTGAGAGGATGGAGCTTGTATTTTCTTGCCCTTGAGAGAATTTATTACTGTCGTTTTGCATTGTATCTCATTACTATGTGCATGGTTCGCAGCACAAATCAAACTTAAAGCTACACACCCTAAATCTGTCATTTTATAAAATCATTTAATTTGAATTTACCTTTTCTGCAAGGTGCTACCTTAATCCATTAACCCTCATTCCCTCAAAGTAACCAAGATCCCGTGCAGGTAAACAAATGCATTTGCTGACATTCAACCTTTCTATTCCTGCCTTTCCTTCCTTCTCCCTGCTGTCAACATTCATAACAACAAAAAAATAAGAGAAATGACAATCATTATTATATATATTTATATATGGTTAATTTAAAGATATATGCACTTACACACATTATCTTGGAGTACTTATACTTGTCCTGTAAAGTAGGTCCATATTATTACGTTCATATTGCAGAAGGGCTGAGAATGAGACATGGATTTGCCTGCCTAAATAGTGAGCCCTTGACTTATGGGAAGATTTGAACCAGAGACCTTTTAGATCACTGTTCATCACCCCAGCTGATAAGCCAAGCTCTCGAATTCTGTTGGAGGCACACATACATGGATGGCACGGTAGAAATAATTAAGGACAGACCCAGCCCTCAGTGCCAGCAGCTAAGCCAGTGGTGGGATGGTTAACATATGGTGCCACCACGCTGGTGGTACGTGAAAAAGAGAGTAAATCTAGCCCACCTCCCAGCTGAATTTGTTTCTGCTGAGTGCAGCCACTGTAAAAGCATGGGCCAGATCTCCTTTCTTAAGCAGATGGACACTGCTGTGCGGGTACCTGCAACAAAGGGCATGCCAGATCCCCTTCAGCCAGGACTAGAAATGGCACCAACCAAGGGACTGCTGGGGAGAAAACATGGCAAGCCTTCTCGCTCAAGTACGTATCCATGGAAAGAGGTGTTGCGACGTTATGACGTCACACAAATGCCCGCCTCCCACAAGCAGTAACCAACAGAGGGAAATGGGGGGAGGCGAGACACAACCTAGCAATGCCCCAGCGCAGCTTCCACTGACCTCCCTTCTGGGAAGAGGAGGAAGGCGTTTGATACAAGGCGATTGCTTCGGACATCTCACCCAGCTGCACCCTGAAATCTGGAAGGCCTAGGGTTAACACTTTCTGTACCCAGCAACTATTTATTAATTAGTAACTGTTTATCAATTGCCTGCTATATAAAGTGACTGGAGTAGGCCAGGGTCTACTGATCAACAGAAAAAAACATATCTCAATGGGGAAGAAGAAGCATTCTTTGCAACGATTCTGGAAATCTGACACATTCATTCTACAGTGGCAAAAAAAGCAGCGGTTAGGTGTGAAAGAGAAGTGGGAACTGGTCATAACTGGGGTACGAACACGCTCCCCAACATGTGACCCTACAGAACCACAAAGAAGCAAGGTGTGGCTGGTGAAATCTCATGTTGCACATGTTCTGTTGGTAAACTCAGTCAGTGATGAGTTTTGGACCGGTATTTCACAATCCAGGCCCGTAACTCAGGCTAAGCTGAATTCTCACACTCAGCTTAGTGTGCAGCTTTTTGTATCATTTTTCAACATAGCACACACACAAAACTGAAACAGATGGGCAGCAGTGAAATATGAACTGCAAGAAAATCGGCCTTTGCTGACGGAATCCATCTTTCCTCCATTTGCTTCTGAACGAGCCACGAGTGAACATCGGCTGATACGACAGCATGTTTCAGTATATTTATTGATTCCCGTTTGTTTTGCGTAATTGACTGGGGTTATTTCTAGCCGTGTTGGCTTCAGCATTTCATTTGATAAACTGTTCATGAAAACTTCACTTATCAAGTTCATAGTACTAGAAAAGGCTCTCTATAGATGAATAACAGACACACAAAGGTAAAATATAATACAGTCCAGATTCAGCTTTGGTCTGGTTAGCCATTTTGTCAGCCTGAGCTAAGGGAAGCATGCCTTGCATTCTGGACTCCTTGAGAAAATCTCAAAATATACATGCAATGCAGTGAAATAAAGCAGGGACAAAGGTTGCAAACTGCTGTTCAGTTCTAAAACCAAAGTCAAGGTACCAAAGCAAGAAAGACGGTCAAATCTCCAGTAACCTAGAAAAGTCATTCTCAGTTTTAACCACGGAAAATGGGGAGGACAGAAGATTTTCCTTCAAAGGGACTAGAGACTTAACATGGTGCAACTTTATGATGATTCCTTAAAGTGCCTTTAATGATAAGGAGCAACCTTCTATTGATTGTGGAGTGAATTTTATTGATCACATCTCACTGAAAACAGGTCGTGTTATTCATGGAACTATATTCCTGTTTTGACGGTTAAGACAAGACATGATTTGATTTTGCTTTCAGGAAAGAACACGTTTACCAGACAAACAGGGTGACTGCTATTAATAACCCATTTATTTGGAGTTAAGTGTCAGATTTCAGCAATCAATTAGAGCTGTAGTAGAAGGCAGATGGGTCTTAAAATGGTTAGAGTTATTAATGATGATTGGCAGCTATGCTCAATTGCAAATATTTAACCGCCTGACGTTTTACCATCCTAGAACAAATCGTGATGAGGTGGGCTGGGATGAATTGCTGATGGTCTCTGCAGGGAATCCCCGCGAAATTGATTCCGTATGTGCTTTCTCGAGCTGGCTAGAAAAGGAGCAGCGGGACCCGCAGAGGGATGCTCAGTCTTCCAAACCACTGCTTTGCACACAAAATGTTTTTACGTTATTCTTGGATAAGTTGCCAGTATTGAAGTCATTCAACCCAGCCAGCCAAGGAACGTGCTCCGTGTGTGTGTACACAGCAGCTTTATCCCAGGACCAGCCTAGAGACGTAGCAGAGGCATGCTAAGATGCTGTTCAAAACTCATTCTCACCTACCTCTGGAAGCCCTGTCACTTCTGTCCTGCATTTCATAATGTGCTTTTTGTCCCGCATTTCCACATGCTATAAAGTGGAAGGCTAGTTAAGTAGGACTGTAGACAGAAAGATCAGGGTTATGCAGTGACAAATTGGATAGGATTAGCCTGGAGTACATTTCTGTGAGCTCCATCCAAGCAAGGTGAGCAGAATAGCTGCCAATACCCAATGCAGAGGAGAGGATAAAGTGTCGGGCTTGGACTGGGGAAACACAGGTTTGATTCCTGCCTTACCAAAAAGCTCCCTGGCTGATCCCTGACCCATTTTGGCTTGCAAGTGTAAAGCCATAGACACTATCAAACTTAGAACTGGGGAGGCCTGGCTGCCAATCCATACTTGGCCCAATCCATACTTGGCCCAGAAACTGACTCGCTAGTCTTCGCAAAGCTTGCTTCCAGCATCATGTTCCAAACACATCCATTCTCTACCTGTCACCTTTCTTCACTGTCTAGCTTTCACACCAGTAAGGATTACCGGTATTTCAAATATTCTGGACTAACTCCTGCATTTGTCGTTCAGGCTTCCCACCTCACCTTCTATCTTTTCTGCAAACATTCCCCTCCTACTATTGATCAGTGCACTAAGTCCGAGGTAGAAGAACTGTTAGCAGAAAGAGAAATCCACCCGCCCCCACCACCAAATGGCCAGTCTCTATTACTTTTAGCATATAGTCATGGACTGCAAGGAGATCAAACCAGTCAGTCTTAGAGGAGATCAACCCTGACTGCTCTTTAGAAGGACAGATACTGAAGATGAAACTCAAATACTTTGGCCACCTAACGAGAAGGAAGGACTCCCTGGAGAAGACCCTGATGCTGGGAACGATTGTCAGCAGAAGGAGAAGGGGACGGCAGAGGTTGCGGTGGCTGGATAGGGTCACTGGGGCGGTGGGTGTGGGCTTGGGTGGACTCCGGGGGATGGTGGAGAACAGGGAGGCCTGGAGGAATGTTGTCCATGGGGTCATGATGGGTCGGGCATGACTTTGC